ACATTTATTGAATTATTAGTGTATGTAGTACTTGTATCAAATGGACCAACTTAGATGGTAAGAGTAAGTGTGAGCAAGCAAATATTTTATTTATGTAGATTAAAGATTGATGAATGGGAGTAGTCAAAATAAGTTAAAAAAAACCTATTGGGAATGTGGTTTTACAATGTTTCCATGTGAAGAACACTATCCATGCACTTATTACTTTTATGATTAATCTTGCTTACAAAATACCAACATGTTTTTCAGCAGTGTTGCGTGAGAGAATGCTACATATAATTGATCATAGAATAAGATCTCATTCATGTTGTAGTTTAAATCACACCGCACTTGTAGTGAAATCCAACGTTTTTCCTTTTTTTGAACAAAAATAAATAAATTTGATTATGGAAAGTATACTTGCTTCAACTACAACTTTACCGAAGTAGTGATTCAAATTAGACCATTTAAAAAAAATGCAAGGTACAGGTTGGAAAGAGAAAAATCACATCAAATCTTTCTAAATTGCCAATCAACCACAATAGTGACAGTTTCACTATCTTCATAACATATATGCTTGATGGAACCCCATCAAAACGTAAATGGCTTGATGGTATCCATCAAGTTTCAATTTACCCAATGGGATCCCACCGACGGCATACTGTCTGTGAGCTCTAATACGTGTTTTAGTTCGGATATGTTCTTGTACAAGTGAGTTCCAATACGTGTTCTTGTATGAAATTTTTTTAATTCATGTTTTTTGCGATGGCTTCGACGGCGTGTCACATGAGTTTTTACAAAATGAATATACTCTCGTCCGCGATTTCCGAGCCAACCAAATTTATCGAAGCTTCTAGACATTAAGGGTTGCGTTTGAGTTCCAAAAACAATCTACACAAGCACATTGAATCAAAGAAATAGCTTTTGAATATGGAAACATTGATCTGAGAGACAATGCAATGCCACTAGCAGTACACCTTTTGTAATCGTGAGATCTAGCGTCAAACCATCAAATTTCTGCTCCAGCAGATCTACATCATCAGACTGCCACAATGAAATTTTTTGTGCGTATGAATTGTTGTGGGCAAATTCATCCTTGAAACAATGGTGTGTTCTTAAGGAGTCAATTTGACGGTGACGTGGACCGTTTGGTGAGTTCCTATCGAATAAATTGAAATTTGATGGATCCCATCAAGCAATTTACATTTTGATGGGATCTCATCAAGTAAATATCTCTTATCTTCATACTATATAGTGAAGAAAAATGGATGTATGAAGATATACTAATTTGATCAATCAAGACATCACCATATTTCATGTGACATTTTTAGACTCTGTCCATAATCCTTAACTTGAGTATTATAAGGCGGTTAGGGTTTGAATTATGTTAAAACTCAACATATTAGAAATGTATATATGTTTTGAAAAATTGAGATTTACAATCTATATTTTCTTATGAAATTTTATGTTTAATTTAAATATGTAGATTCAAGATTATGATTCAAGATATTTCAAAGATGTTTGATTAGATGCCATATATATTTTATTTATTGAATTTAAAATTAGAATGCCCTGAAGTTGAATAATTTATTGAAAATTCATTAAAATATTGAATTGAATTTTAAATATTTACATTTTTCTAATCAGACCATATTCTAATTTTCAGGTTGTATACATGCGATAATTCAAATTATGTTTATGATTTTTGAAATTAAATTTCTTCCTCAAATTCAGTCAACAGTGTTAAGTTAATTTACTTCTGTCATGTCATTACATTAAATATGAATAAATTCATTTCGAATTTGAAAAAATATACATTACGTATCTTCAGAGTTACTTAAATTATAAAACTAACAACGTAAACGTTATATTATTACAAAAAATCAAAAAATAACATATCTATTGAAGTTTTAAAAAATCAAGTATTTCAGTGGAGATGGAGAAATAAAGTGAGACTTGAAACGAGCTTTATTCTTTCCGGACAAACTAGTCATAGTCGCACAAGATTGACTAGATCCAGTTAGTTTGAATATCATACTCGTAACTAGCAAGAATATCTATTTAAAATAACCTACAAGATATGAAAAGCCATATAGAATGCATAACTAGCAAAAAGTAATGGGCAATGAAAGACAAATATGCATATGTCTATAAATCAGCGGTAGTATCATGAGATCAGTGACTATATAAAGTGCACAAAGGATGTATTGTGGGTAACTTGGCGATTGTGAGGAGGGAGACCCGACCAAGTCGATATAATATGTCGAATCGGCGCGACGTAAGTCCGAGACTGTCGCAAAACAACATCTTGCGTTCCGCGACCGCTTACGATCCTGACAGGTTGTAGAACGCAAAGTGCACGTTTGCGTCATGTCATACACCATACTAATAATGGGACAATGCTCAGATCTGGACCCGAAACAAAATATGGACAAAGTAGGCTCTTTCACCAACGCTCGATAGAAGAGGAGCCCAGATCGAGCTGGTGAGGATGTCGACCCCTGTTCCTGCGTTACAGGTTCCTGCATGAAAGTGCAGCGTGGAGCACAGGAGCCCAAGATCGGTCGCGTCAATGTCTGACGGATGCGACAGTACACCGAAATAGCGGCGTACATTGCGACGCTCCAAGAACGTTTCCTCGTTACCGGCCACTAACTCGACATGGGTTCCGTGGAACTGACTTAAAAGGAGGCCCCCCGGTTTGTCCAAAGTTTGGTGTGGGGGCCCGGAAGTGGTCCGATTGTCCACTAATAATGGAGGGCGGATTTGCATGTACCGTGTGACCTGACCCGAACGAAGCGAGAAGATGATCCGTGAATCGGAAATGCCTCAGGGCCAATTTATGGCGGAGATGCCCACAAAAGCTGGAATCACGGGTGGCTGGATATCCACGGGATTGCAGGTCGGGTAGGCCGCGGGCAGATCGCTCCGGAGCCCGAACGGGCTTGACCGAGAACTCTCTGGCCGCTCCGTTCTGCGTTCTGCAGTCGTCCGGCCAGTCGCCAGTCTTCGGTCCCCGGTCCCCAGTCGCCAGTCCCGAGTCGCAGAGCGAGGGGACGACCGCCTGCGTACATTGATTGGGAGCGCTGGGGACCTGGGAATGGATGATTCTTCCGTGCGGAGCAGAAGGCAGAAGGGACGGGGCAGCAAGACGATGGGCTCAATCAATCTAGGGCTCCAACCCCACGGATTTCACCAGCACTTTACCAGACCTACAACGAACAACCGCAGTCCACAGTCCACGGTCCACCAGAAGTTTCATCGGTACTGCGCGGATGTTGTAGATGGCTCGAGGCGAGCGAGAAAAAGGGTGTACGTGTACGCGTCTTTATCCTCGGGTTCAAATCGTCCCAGTCGGAAGGGTTTGGCTTTTGAGGTACACTATCATGGCCATCATTAAGAATTATGGGACAAACCTGAAGGACATGGAGGGCTACAGGCTCCTCGTACTCTGCTATCTGTTATCTCTTACTTCCCGTCCCTTCCATACGGATATTTGACTTGATTGCCTTGCATTTGCGAGACATTCCGAATTTCCGAGTTATTGCGGATAAGGCCAATTAGCGACGTGCTTACCGGGCTCATCTCCTCTCGCCCAGAGATACAGTACGGCGGTCGTCCGGCAGCTTTTCACACAGTCGATCATCAACTGCATCGATCATCGCCGGCCTCCCGTCGCTTTCGACGGGCGACGGCGAGGCATCTGCGCGTCCGTCCGGCGGTTGCCCGCCGAACTTGGCCGGATGGAGAGACGCCCGCAGTCGGGCGGCCAAACGTGGAAGGCATGGAACGTGAGTGCGCGCAGAGGGGCTATAGTTGGAGGAGCAACTAGTTGGACGGAAGGGCCGCAAGCCAGGCAACAGAATGCCAGGGTGTCTGTCATAGCGCGAACATGAGAATCGAAGAAGCAAATGATCGCGGAACACTTGAATGATTTGCATTGGAGCGACGTCCTGCAGAACGGTCTTCATTTCCTTTTATTAGATATCTCACAATTCATATCCCTTTTGGGCGAGGGGAGAAGAGACGTAGGGGCCTTTTTTACCCCGCCCTAACTTTTGGGTTGTTGGCTGGATGACATCCAGGCCAGTTGCCAACAAAGTTACAAACACGTCGGACATACCGCACGCACTTCGGCGAGAACCGCGAGATATTCTCAGGAAATCGCGAGCGGGGCGACAGCAGTTGCGAAAATCGCAAGGTCAAAGGCCGCTCGCGATTTCCATCATTCATGATTCACCCCGTCCGCGTGACTCTTACGTGCCAAACACGCCCACACCCCGTCGGGTCAGTGCTCTTCCAGCCGCTGCCCGGTCTGCCCGCTCGAGGCATGAAAGAAATACCACTCCTTCCAGCCCCATGCCGAGAGTCATGAGCATGCAGGCATACCATCGAGGATCATGGGGTTGACCCATGATCGGAATCATCTCATCAACTCCCCCCTGTAGATGAGCGCTGCCCGGCCCGAGCGGGCTGGCCGATTTCCCCCAGACGGCCTGGCCATGGCCGGGCCGGGCCGGGCTGTCGGAAGGGAGCGAAGAATGACGGGCAGGGACCATATCGAACATCGCCGGTCAAGGGGAAATTCCGGAAGACTCAAAGGGCACCGTTTGCCACTCCGAGGCTCTCACCCTCTTTGTGCCTCGGACCGCAGCAATATGATTGAGCGGCACCCGGGCGGCGATGGCCGGACGGTGGGTTTCCCGGCCAGCGGCTGACGTCAATAGCCACAGTTCAGATACAAAGCGTTTCCACGCGGCGGTGGGGTATTGGCGGGCGCGGGAAAATGATCCGTGGGGGCTTGGAAGAAAATGGCCAGGAAAATGGTTCAAAATGCGGGGAGAAATTAGGGACCCAGGCCGTGGGACCAGGGCTGGGCAGCAGGCGCTGGGGCAGCTAGGGCAGGTTGTGTGTGGGACGTCCGAGACGAAACGTACGAGGTCCGAGGTCGAGAGCCACGGCTGGGCAGTAGTAGTGGCGTTCTTCCCTCGCTCGCTCGCTCGCTCGCCCGCCCGCCCGCAAGCCCGCCCTCCCTCCCTGCCTCCCTCGAGGCCCTCCTTCTGTGCCCAGCTTTGCGTTGATGAGTCTCGGCAGGCAACGTTCTCTCACCGAGAAAGTGCTCTTCGCTCCCTGGAGCACGGCAGCACACCTCCCCCCCCATCTCTGCTCTCTGCTCTCTGCTCTGCTCTGCTGTGCTCTCTTCCCTCCATTCCATTCCATTCCATTCCATCCCATCCCGTCCCGTCCCGTCCCCTTCCCTTCCCTTCCCTTCCCTTGGCCCTCCCGTGCGTCTGTCCACTCTTCCATACTGTTGTGTCTCATCTCCTCTCCCCTCCCGTTGCAGGCTAACGCACTAAGCCTCAGCCCGGGGCCTTGTCTCACAGTGCTCGCGTACTCAGGTTTCAAGGCATCTCGTCTGTCTGGCTGTCTGTCTGTGCCCCTCTAGACTTTTCTCCTCATCTCATCTCATCTCATCTGCTGCTCTGCTCGACCCGTCTCTTCTCTTCTCTTCTCTTCTGCCCTGTCCTCTCCTCTCTTCTGCTCTGCTGTGCAGTCCCGCGGTCTCGTCTTCTGCCATCCTTTTGCGCGGTGGCCTCCATCTCATCTCTCTCGCTCTCTCTCTCTCTCTCGCGCGCGCCTCCCACTTCCTTCGCTTGGAGCCCACATCCCTCTGCCGTGCGTTGCCCCCAGTCCGTCCTACTGCCCCCATCGCTCGCTTTTGTCTCCTCTTCTTTCTGGCACCTTTTTCCTCCGCGCTCGCTCCATTGTTGCATCCGGCTGAGACTGGGCCTACGATTTGCGACGGGAAATGGTAGATTGTGTAGTAGGACGATTTGTTTGTTTGGACAGGCCAGTGGCAAATTTTTGGTTCGACAGCACCAGCCAGGAGTGCTGTCCTCCTCCCTCGCGGTGACGGGGTATTCATTCGGACTGCCAAGGAAGTGGCCGGAGGAGTGACAGGGTGCTGGAGCACATCGGGGACGACTCATATTTTATTTCCATCCTCATGAGCATTTGCGGTGTGCACCCCAGGAAGGCGATCCATTTACGGTGTGACGTGTCGAGACTTCCAGATTGGGGCGTAGGTCCTAGCTGCGCCGGCAAACATTTGCTGCCTATTCTTTTGTACATCCTGGCTTGCCATTCGTCCGTCTGCGAGCACTGCGCTTAGCAGGCTAGGGTAGAGTTGTAACCGTGTGTGCTCACCTCCGAGAAGGGATAAGCGGTCCGCTCTTTGTCCTTTCATCTGCCGGTTGCATCTGCGACTTGTTCCTCTTCGTATCACCTGTGGTCGGACGGCGAAGGTAGCTTTTGCGCTCTCTCATCGCCTTAGGGCATCTGCTGGAATTCGTGTTTGCTTTCTGCGCATCTTTGTTACACCGGGCACCTTGTTTCAAGAAGAACCATATGCTGTGTGGCGGTCCTTCGTCGTTGTTTTCTGTCTTCTTTACTGCCTCATATCCTCATGCGACAGTCACGAGCGCTGATCTGCCGTTTCGTGTCCCCCGTACCGTCATTTCGGATGCCTTCTGGTGTATAATGTCAGTTAATACCATCTTGTGCATTCCTCCTGTTTCTATCTTGATCTTTTCCTTCAGTCAACTTGCGGGATTCCTAAAAAGGACACACACTTTCTTGTGGTCTCTTCTCGAACTGTTGCTGCCTTTGTTGAAAGTTATCACCCCTCCTCCTGCACGGTTCCTTCTTGGCGGATTGAGTCTTCATTGTTCTAGTACGGGAGCTGCCTGTATCACATGAAAGATCTAGCGTTCGCTTGGTGTAATTTTTATCACTAGTGTAATTTTACCTTTGCGCCGAACCTCACATGCCTCCCTATTCGGTGTTCTTCTTTTGATGTGGATCTGTCTCTGCTATCTTATTCCAGATCTTTACTGTAATCACCTTATTATTGGATGGGATAGAGGAATGCCAGAGCAGGAGCAAGTGCCAAAGATTCGCGATCTGTGGATCTGAGAAGAGTGCGTTTGTGTACTCGGGGGGAAAGGGGGTAAGTCCGAGCAGGTCCGGTGTCGTGCCTGGGGCAGAGGAAAGGACATGAGAAATTTAAGTCAGGGGAAGCGTTTACGAGGTTGATGGTCAAAGATCAAGACTGCGCTTCTTTGAGTGGAGGAAATTTACGTAAGCCCTGACATCTGTGGATGTTCTGAGGTTTAGGAAGACTTTGGGCTGAGTCTTGCCGTTGGTGCTCCACTGATATTGGGTTTATGTGAGATCCCCACCTCGCAACCCTACTTTATGAGGCGTGACGTGAGGGCTGGCAAACAGGTATCTGCAATCAGCCGGAATTCGTAGGTGAAGAACTTTGGGGACCGAAGTTGGCTTGAACTGAGTTCAAATTTTCGGAACATATTCAAGGAGGTGAAAGAGACGCAACAAATTGTACAGGGTGATGGCCGTGTAGAGAGTGAAGTTAAAGCGCAGCTACTTTGAAGCCTAGAAGGTTTTGACGAGCATCTTACAGCCTGAGGAGGACTCACCGTAGTCACTTGAGCAAGTCCAAGGGAGGGTTGGGATATAATGAGCTTTTGATCATAAGAAAAGGGTACACTGGAAAGAATGATGTTGGAAGGGCATACTAGTGGCAATATTATGGAGTCACGTGGTCTGAAGGTGATGCAGGCCCAAGCTGCATCTCTCCCGTTTTATGGTTCTTCTGTTTCGTCTCCCCTGTTTTCTGACAACATCTACTTGCCTGCGGAGGTCTAGCCTTGACCTTTCCTCTATCACCTTCTCTCTGCCTATGGACTTTTGACCTTATGACATGTGAGTGCTGGTAGAATTTCTCTTGGATCTCACGTCCGTAAGTCTAGCTTCTGATGTCGTTTTTCATGCATTGTGGGCAAGCTGCTTAGTAATAGCTATGCATGCATGCGTATGATGTCCTGGATCGTCAGTATTTACTCTATGTATTGAGGGTATGCGGGTGTGTTGTAGTAAAAAGTTTTCGTTTCATTTCGGAGCTATTCGAGGACAGAGTTTATTCACCCTCCTGTACGATCTGTTTCGGTAGTAGTACGATTTGTATCGAGTGGTGCTTGGTTTGGTCGGTTTCAGTCAGTCCTACCTTACGATTATAATATCACTGTGATTCTGGTACCTAGAGAAGTTGAGGCTTGCGATCAGTATGATTGTCATCCTAGATTGGGATCCGACGACTGCAACCTTTTCCCAAAGATGTCCTCAAAATTTGGTGTTTCCTTGATCATCAAGAGGAGCTATGCTAGATGCTCGTCTCCCAGCTTGTTGCATGATAAATGGTAGTGATGAAGCCTTGGATCATTGCAAGAGGGATTTGGAAGGAGAAAGTTTCGTGTCAAAGATGGACTTTCGAGTTGAAGAACATGTACTCTTGTAGCACAAAATCGTGATCCCTCGTAGACTTTTAGTGCCTTAAGTAGGGTTTTCACCTCTCAGTGTTTCCTTCTTCTTCTGCATCACATCACTCACAAAACACCTTCGGGTTTGAATCCGGTAGAAAATTCCCTGCCCTCATCCTCATTACTCCAAGTCATGTTCGATTCGAGTAAAGGTTGCCGAGTCGATCTCTCTTTGTATGAAGTACGTCATGCATGGGATTAAGCTTATAGGTTGATATGTAGGTCGACCTATAGTAAACTCTTGAAATAACTTCAGATGCCTGGCAGGTTCTATCTTGAATCTCCCAATCAAAATTTACGGCTGGAAATTTTTTGCAAGCTTTTGCAGAATCCCTTTTCTCCTGAATGGCAGGTCATATCTTGACTTTTATCTAAACAGCCTCAAAAGAAATTGTGTTGCAAGTTCATAGCTCACAAGTAACGATGTGAATAAATTGGTTCGCTGATTGTAACAAATGAATAAACGATGCCAACATATTAGAATCGCATCTAAATTGAACACCAGATGTAGAGTTTGTCTCTCCCGAACCTTTGATCATAGTTCAAGCGAGGAGAATTGGGGTGTGGGGAGTGTGTTGCTGGTGTCATGTGTGTGTCCCATGGGTACCATCCTCAGTGTTGAATGATGCTTGTGAATGCAGAGACAAGTCGGTTTTTGGAAGAGTGACGGAAACTCCAATGGTCATCTGGATGGGTATTCGTCCTCTGTATCTCAAGTGTTGTCTTCATCTTTTGGTATGTAAACTATATCTTCTACTATGCTAATTTTTGCTGAATAATTGACATCTTTATGCGGTTGAGGTGCATTTGCGACTGATCGCGTTCAACCCATATTTGTATCCTGGTTTATTCTCTGCCACTACATGCTTTGCCATAGCTTCTTCTACCTCCGGAAGTTCAGTTTTACTCACACTGTTGATGTTGAGTCTACAAGTTGAAGTAACCTGACTGACCACCTCCACCTGGAGAACATCTGACACTATATAAGTTTTTCATTCAGGATTTGGTGTAGAGGACTCTGCAATGGATCCGTCCAATCGGGGCGTGCACATACATTCAAATGGCCCTTCTGAGCAAGCTAAGCAGAACGAGTGGAACCAGGATTGGTCCAGAGGTTCTCATCACGGGAAGGTTAATATTGATCAATGGGCTGTTGGATCAGAAAGAAGGGCCAGCTTGTCTTCATATCCTTGGAATTCTTCCGGTGAAATTGCAGGGCTGCGGTCGAATGCACTGTCTTCATCCCCTCATGTAAATGGAACTCTCGACAAATTGGATGGTTATAATGATGCTGACAACAGTGGTTTTTCCAGCTCATTTCCAGCTCTCTTCCAAAAAAGTAAGTTCTGACTGAACTGCATTGACATATTTATCTGTACCTGCGGTGATCTCCAGCTGTAGAGATTGTGGGAATCCTCACAAATTCCCTGGAAATCACTGAGTAAACTTGAAGTGCCTTCAATTAATTATCTAAACCTGATGGGAATCACTCACTAATCAGCATCTGGCGTCCTCTGTCCAAACAAGAAAGCAAATTTTGTCGAGTTTTTTAATAATGTATTGCACCTGTGTTGTAGAAGTCTCAAAGTTTTGTGAACTCATGCTTGATTCACGTGTAATAATGCAGTGAGAATCTCAAACGCAGATGTGTGTATAAGCCACTCAATTGATACTACCGGTTCTCACCTAAACGGAGATCTTGAGGGTGATGAGCCTTTTGGATCACTGGAAGAGTTGGAGTCACATACGATCGGCAATCTTCTTCCTGATGACGAAGAAGAGTTACTCGCTGGAGTCACGGATGACTTTGATTGCATTGGACCTTCAAATGCTGAAGATACAGATGATTTTGATCTGTTTAGCAGTGGAGGTGGCATGGAGCTGGAAGGGGATCCCCAAGATGCCCTGAGTGCATATATGAACACTCATCGCACTCTAGATGTATTGGTCGGAGGCTCTGCAACACAGCATGGTGGATCAAATGCTGCAGGCTCTGTTGCTGGAGAACATCCGTACGGGGAGCATCCTTCACGAACATTGTTCGTTCGCAATATCAATAGCAATGTTGAGGATACCGAGCTACGAGCACTATTTGAGGTATCTTCCAAAACCTTTTGCCCCATGTTTTGCTGTTCGTAAGAATCTAAGCTCTTGAGGATGTTCCATGTACATATGGAGTGTAATAATATGAAATAAGTCCTCAACAGGTCCGCTGACGATCTTCCAATTTTATTTATGATGCAGCAATATGGGGCTATACGCACACTATATACTGCCTGTAAACATCGAGGCTTTGTCATGATTTCATACTACGACATTAGGTCTGCACGTAGTGCAATGCGTGCTCTTCAAAACAAGCCTCTGCGCCGTCGGAAACTCGATATTCACTTCTCCATACCGAAGGTTACTCCTTTTAACAATATGTCGCGGAACTTGGACATTGCTTTGATCTTCATTATTTAATGATTTGCAGTGAACTAATGTTAGCAAAGAGATCTCTCGCTTCACATTCTAGTCAACGGGTCTTAGGATAGACAAATTTGTCCACTACTCTGTCCAGTGTTGAGTGCGCAATCTAATTGTCTTCTGTTGTCTTCTTCAGTGTCCCTTGGGTTCAGTGAAAGTTTACACCAGTACAAGCTAGTAAGATAGTACTCGGCTTCTTCGTGTAATTTGCATGTCATTCTGTGTAGGATAGGTGTCCCTGTGGAAACATTGCTGACATATAGATCTCGTTTGTGCTGTTGCAGGACAACCCTTCCGATAAAGATGTCAACCAAGGCACTTTGGTTGTGTTTAATCTTGATGCTTCTGTCTCAAACGATGATCTACGTCAAATTTTTGGAGTTTATGGCGAGGTCAAGGAGGTACTACTCGTTAATGTTGCCCGTTGACTCTACAGTACTATATCCCTGGTCTTTGTCAACCCCAAATAATGTACTACATCCTGATTAAGTCATTTGCACTTTGCTAATTCTCCTTGATGTGTACACAAGAAGCTTTTTATCGTCTCTTCAGCTTCTACGTTATGATCCCGCTCATCTTGAAGATAAACAAGTATAGCATCATTAGAAAATAAGATGGGATTAATTACATATTTTTTGTGTTCAACCTCTAATTCATAGATTTTTGTAGAATAATATGTTTTGTATCAACAATATTTCATATATCTAATCAATAAAAAAAAGGTTAAAAACTTAAATTGAATAATTTTAAGCTTTATCATAAAAAAATGTGTTATTCTTGAAATTGTTTGTTCAATTATATAAAATTTCGGAAAATTTGAATTTTTATATATAAATTTACCTGAAATATTAATGGGTGAAATTAGTTTTTGTAGATTGATAAAAATTTGCACATTATTTAATTCAAAATCAAAAAATATTTATCAGATAATCTAAAATATATGTGATTTAAAGTCTGAAATATTTTTGAACTCGAAAATTAATTATTATATATTTTTCTATCAAATGTAAAATAAGTTATTCTTAGAATTTGAATTTTTCATTGATTAATTATCATTAAAATAAGTAATAATGTCATCCATATATTTTATATTTTCAGATTTACATTTCATGACATAACTAGTGATTTTTTAATCCATAATGATGAATTATATACTACATGAATGAATGCTAAGAAATAATGGTAAAAAAACATGATGATTTTCGAAATATTCTGATAATCATATATTAAAATTTTTTAGTTGATATGAAAAACAATGCTCTCTGAATAAATTTTTTTTACAGTAATGCTATCTTTCGTCCGACCTTCTACTTTTGTGCATCAAGCATAGTAGCATGCATAATGTATAAAAGTAATTTGTCAATTCTGTCTCGTCGAGAACCGAAGAACTTACATATTCCGTTGGCGGGTTCAAGTCCCGGCAACGGAAAGTGTAAGTTCTGCGCCACGCGTCGGGATTCGAACCGGGGTTGCTCTGTTCGAGCCGAGTATCCCAGCCAACCGGATAACATCGGATGATGCCCTAAACCCAGCAGATTGATACTTAGGAGTTTGATTAAGTAGAGATCTAACCCTTTGTCGTACTGATGCTGTTGCAGATTCGGGAGACACCACACAAGCGTCATCACAAGTTCATAGAGTTCTATGACGTAAGAGCAGCCGAAGCTGCCCTGAGGGCGTTGAACAGAAGTGACATAGCCGGGAAACGCATCAAACTTGAGCCTAGTCGTCCTGGAGGAGCTCGCCGCAGGTGTGTCTTCAGTTGACATGTTGAACTGCTTGGTCTTCATCTTAGTTGTTGATGCCTGAAAATATTGTGTTGAAGTGCTGAATTTATTGGTGTAGTTTGATTAATTCGGGGAAACAGGTAAAAGTTTATTGATATAGTCGTGGTTTTGGCAGTCTAATGCAGCAGCTTAGCCAAGAGTTAGAGCAAGAAGAAAGTCGACCACATAGACAGCAAGCTCATTCGCCACTTACCAACTCTCCTCCAGGTTTGTCTTCCTATTTCTTGTCATTAATCGACGGTGTAGATGAAGCTGTTCATAACCATTTACACAACAATCAGGTCAAGTTCAGTGACTTTGTTCTAGGGTATGCTTATGCTCAATGCAGTGATTCCAGATAACTAGTGGAAAGTTTTCCAGTGACAACGCAGACGTGTTTTATTTACAATAGGTTTCTTTTCCGACGTGTAATTTTAGATCGCCTGGTACATTGTGGTACAGGACATCCTTCTCAGTGGGGCTCTGTGAGCAGTTCTGTGGACAATCCTCTTCGAAGTTTACATCATTCATTGCCCCACGGAAACTTCTCTCCTCTTGTAGGCAAGCAAGCAATTAGCGGGGTAGCTGCCAGCTTACCACCTCACCTATCCTCTCCTGTTCGAGTAGGGACAATTGGTAGCCATGTTGGCCAGTCCAATCAAACAGAAGCGGGCCATTCATTGGGACACATGGGCATCGGAGTGCATCGCCTTCCGCCCCATCACCCACACTCTCTGCCTGAGTACTCCAATAGTATCATGAATTCGGTAAACTTCAGCCCTGCCCCTGGTTCTGGGTCAGCGGCCAGCAATGCCACTGCATTGAGGTCACGCGAAGCGGAAGGAAGGAGGCTGCAGCGAACCAGTAGTGGGACTATAAACGATCCATCGACCTTTGATCATGCCAATGGAGGTATGGTTGTAAACCTCTTGTTGATTTGCGATTCTCTGATGTAGCTTTACGGATCATCTATCTCCAACTCTTTGCGCAATGTCAAATACATGTCAGGGCCATGTCTCCAAGTGCTGGTCCCTCTCTGGTATGGGGAGTAGTACAGTCTCGAATGGACATTTTCCATAGCCTAACCTGAAGCTTAAATGGGAGTGAATCTTACCAGGGCATCAATTTCTTTGGGGAAGTTCAGCACCTTATCATCATCATACGCAGAGTTCTCCTCCATTGATATGGCCATCATCTTCAGTGGGATTGTCATTCAACCATGGTGGGCAGTCCCAACCTCAATCACATGCATTTTCTGGGACACATGGCCATCTGGTAAATCAGGCCGTCCTTTCGCATCGGGGACACCATGTCGGCTCTGCTCCCGGAGAACCATCAGTTATGGATAGACGCCATGCTTATCTTGGAGAATCACCAGATTCATCTTCTATCATTCGAGGAATGGGTATGGGTGGCTCCAGCGGAACCCACGCGATCAACATCACTGGTGGTGGTCATGGTTTAATAAATCTTGCGGCAGGGATGGGAAGCAACGGGGGCCTTGAGCATAGTGCTGCATCTCCAATAGGAGTTTTGTCACCGCAGCACCGGCCTCGTATGTTCCCCAGTGGTAGTTTGCCTGGTTCAGTTTCAGCCTCTATGGACGGATTGAGTGATCGAGGAAGGAGTCGCAGGGGAGAAAGTAGTGGGGCACAGGCTGACAACAAGAAGCAGTATCTACTTGACTTAGATCGCATTATGCGCGGGGAGGATTCTCGGACCACTCTTATGATTAAGAACATACCAAACAAGTAAGTTAGCTACATATCCCTACATTTTATAGCAAAGTATTAACTCAGTGGGAGAATGAAATGAGTATTCAGAGTTGATTTACTTTCATTGCTTTTGGCCGCCAGTTGGATGGACCTCAGCTCATCGATCTTATCTTATTCCAAAATTTTTGCAGGTACACATCGAAGATGCTACTTGCAGCCATTGATGAACATCATCGTGGAACTTATGATTTTATATACCTCCCTATCGACTTCAAGGTAATAGGTTTAGGCTAGAAAATGCGTCTTGCTCTTTATTTAAGTATATCTTGAAGGATTTTGGGATTGCAACGTCTTGATGAATCATGGAACTGCATTTTTGAAGTACGCTTGTGATCTGAATGTACTTTCTCTCTCATTCGAGGTCAACACCTTGATTAGCCTCCGTATTGTAATTGATGTTCGTCATACATGGTACATGACCGAAATCTTACGTTGTTGTCCTGCAGAATAAATGTAATGTCGGCTATGCTTTCATTAACATGATTGCACCTTCTCGAATCGTTCCATTCTATCAGGTGAAATTTCAGTGGTATCAGTCATTTGTAGCATTGAGTTTAGGCTTGTTGAGGTGGACCTAAAACTTAAAGTGATGCAGTTTCTACTTTATCGGTCGTTAGCTAGTGCTTTTTGGTCATCGCTCATGCAGGTTGTTCATGTCTGTTTGAGTTCTTTAGTGTGGTTGTTGACAGATAACAAACAGAGACCTTTTCCTAGTCTATATGGTTTCTGTAAAGTCTGGCTGTCTCGTGTGCTCGAGTCTGATTTTGCAGCTTCTCTTGTGCAGGCATTCAATGGGAAGAAGTGGGAGAAGTTTAATAGTGAAAAAGTGGCGTCTCTTGCTTATGCCCGTATACAGGGCAAAGCTGCACTGGTGGCCCACTTTCAAAATTCAAGTTTAATGAATGAGGATAAGCGATGCCGCCCCATTCTATTTCACTCAGAAGGGCCTCATGTGGGGGACCAGGTATTTACCCTCATTGGAGAGGTAAAAGGTTACTGTTTTCATCTGTATATGTTGTCTTGAAGTTGATATTTTTTCTTGTTTTCAAGCAAGTAGTGTCTTTTTTGTTAAATATGACGTTTATTTTCTGTTTCAGGTTTTCCGCTTTGGTTTCTCTTTTATCCATCTGCTCAGGATCGAGGTTGTAATTGGCTTGAACCTATTATTTCTGTTGTTATGTGTGTCAGGAACCATTCCCAGTTGGAGTAAACGTGCGAACTCGTCCTAGCAGGGACCGTGGTAGCAATGGAGGGAGCCATCAAGGAAGTCCGTCCACAAGTAGCAGCAGCAGGGATGAATCAGTCCACGGAGGCATTGGATCTTTATCGGGTGCTGTACGCAGTTCTTCACCCGATAGAGAAAGGGAATGATCAAATCTCACTTCTATATAACAACTCGGATTGAGAGTGAACGCCAGCTTATATTTTGTGGGAATTCTCATGTCACTTCTTATGCAACGCAACGCACGCGAAGGTTTTGGAATTGGATCGTTGAAACATCCAGTTACGGGGGAAGAAGGATGAGGCCTACTCAAGTTTTTGTACACGTTAAACAGCTGGCAAAGAGAGGCAGGACCAGTCCTGTGCATTTTGAAGCTGCGACGGCAGCTGTTTTTGCGGCAGCGCAAATAGCTTCTGCAACTTTGTTCACAGTTTTCCTCTCTAGATTGAATATTATCTAAGCACGAGTGGCGTCATTCAGGGACGGCTGAAAGCGGGTGTAGGTTTGTAAACAAAGGGTGCTTACGAATGTATCGGCATGTGTTTGATTGAAGGCTCTAGATTTTCAGGCTCTAGGGTGGGACAGCAGCTTGAAGAGTTGGCCTAAGGCTATCTGTTCTGCTGACTTGAGTCTGAGACGCGCCACGAAGTGTACAGATGACGTGAGTTGGGCATTGGAGAGTGAAGTAAGTGTGTAATTAGATTATGCCGGTACATTGCCCTTGATGGTTAATTGGCATCTTCATATTCATATAGAGCTCGATTGGAGCGGGTGCTTGTTTTGTAGGCGGTTGATGACTGTTTTTCCTTCTGGACCTTTGAGGGAAGGCCAATTGTCTAGATTTAAATATTGGTTCTTGGAATTTTTCATAAATCACTTTATATTCGTGGTTATTATATCATTAAGTACAGGAGGTAGGCGGTGTGAGAGAGTCCAATTGGGCAGAACGGTTGTGTAAATTGTGTATTTTGATCTATTGTAAATCATTCTCCTGTATTCTCCGCAACAGAAGGCCATTCTCCGCGACGGAAACTCGGGTCAAGCTCTATCAGGGCCACTCTGCAATGTATGAATTGTTCATTCTCATTGTTCATACATGCCTCCATCTAGAAGTCATTGTAGCAAGCAAGTCATCTAAGAAGTCATTGGGCATGCAGGCCAAGCAAATCGTTCCATCTTTAGATACCCGGGGTTATGTGCACTGCCTTGTCTTCGGTTGCCCTTGGTTGTGGTAGAAGGTAACTATTCTGCATGTTTTTCTCTATTTGTAAGTTGAAGCTTTGACTGACCTCTTGCTGTGGGAAATGTGGATTTTCAGTAAGACTTTCTACAAGTGTATGGAGAGTATTAAATGATCTGACTGGATGAATGTTGATGTACTAATGTGGATGTTGCACATGGGCAGAAACTTTTATCACAACCTAAATCTAATAGGCTATAGAGAAACAGTTGGAACTTTGTCAATGCCAAGAGCAACTTTTGAAGTCGCCGTGTAAAGGATTTTGCACTGAGAATTTGGACGAGCATTGCAAAAGTTAGCGAAGTCTTTCTTCAGATCTATACCGGAATTTAGAACTGGGATTTATTTCCGTCTTCTCGGAAAGTTTTATGGAGCGGACGTAATGTAAGTATTGAAGGAACATTCGAGACAATTGAGGAGTGGTGTCAAAACTGTGCAAATTGTGAATGATGGAGAGAAGGTTTGGAATTGAGCAACTTAACAATATTTATCATAGAATTCAAGTTTGGAAGATGTAGAACATTGAAGAGATTGAGTTCAAGCCATTATAATATATTATTGAATGAAAAGAAATAAAACAAAATAACATTGCAGAATTGAATTTCAATGTTTTAGTTCCAATTGAGTTGATTGCATCCTTATAGTGCGTGTGAAGTGAAGGTTTGGTTTATGTTCCATCAGATTTACATTATTATGTACCCCATTTTCCGAACTCTACTTCGCCGAAGTCCATGTTAGAACCATGCATGACATTTTTTGTGTTACATATATCATAAAAATGTAGGATTTCATTTTTTTTTGGCTGGCCTCATAACGCTGCAAATCGAAATCTTATGCTTTTAATTTAGATATAATGTTGTCTCATTACAACTCATAACAACTGTTCATGGATGTGACCTTACAAGTTAAACATCTCCATAGTAGGAAGAAGATACATCAACTCCAACATAATAGTTGCACACAATCTTACTAGCTTTACTTTCCTCATATAATGTTCATTCATGACTAGATTCATGTGCTGTAATTCATTGCCAATTGATTGCTATGCTATACCTCTTTTCTTTATGAGATCTTGAATGGCTACTTAAAGTTGTGAATTATAGAAGAGATGGAAAAATTAATGAATCATGAGATTATGCTTGTAACGTTTGCTCACATTATGTTATTCAACAAAATTTGACCTGTAAGTCAAATCTTCTTATGATGTAGTGGATCATGAGAAGATTGAAGTTTGCTTACATTATGTTATTCAACAAGATTTGACCTTTAAGTCAATTCTTCTTATGATGTAATTGATCATCAGAGGATTGAAATTTGTTAGAAGTGCATGTGGTACATCATGTGTATAACACATTATTCAAAACATTGCTTTTGAGAGTATAGAAATGACAATTTCTTGATAGGACATATTTATCCTTTTATAGATGGAGTGATATTATCATGACAAAATTGAATGAACTATTGCCATCTACGTTAGATGCATGTTCTTTTCATATATGCAACTACAACAAATGTAGATCAATCTATACTTCGTCGTTTGAGGCTAGGATACTTTGTTCGGTAGATTTTATATTAACGAATTTCACTTCCAGTATGTTGTCATCTACGATTATAATGTCTATAACTTGACATTATTCAAAGAGTGCATGTGTGTGTTGTATCTAATCGACTGCTTATTTGCACATACAAGTAGTTCACACTTCTATCTAGAGCAAGATGAATGTGTTAGACATCTATCAATATATACATTGTATATCACTCTAGAACAATATCCGGATTTTTATTCATGTATAAAGTTTCAGCACACTTTATTCTTAACTATTTATATCTGGCACATGTATTCTCAGAAGATTTGAACATAAACCATGTAAACAATGTTGGAAAGTCTGCAAACATTTGTCAGGGAAGGGACTTACATTTGGACAAATCAGAGTATTACACATTTTCGTGACAAAATATAGCTTCATGATATATATATAGAACGATGATGAATATGGTCACAATAAAAGTGTACATGGTTCCTTTAGTAGAAATTTCGAATCATTGATCATTTTCTGCCTTTCTTCACAATGATGTCCGCTTCTCTCACAGAATATGCGGTGCAGAGCTCTATTGACAATCTGGGGAAGAAGAACTATGGACACATTTTTATGTGATTGTGCAGCTCCAAATTGAAGCGCCAACCTAACGTAAGTCGAGCTATAATTTGGTATTTGGCTAGTGGCAGTGCCAATAATGGGAGCAATTGAGACAAATATCTAATCAAGTTCTAGGCTGTACTTTACGGTGAGAAGTAAATCCAAAAAAGAAGATAGAGAAACCAGCTGGAATCCTAAAAATCGTTGCTTGTAGATAGGGACAAACCTGAAAGTGTCACATGGATATTAAAAAACAATGTGAATACCGAGTCTCAACAAGGTACCAAATAACATGTGCTAGTCATTGATGATATAGTGATCAGATATATATCTAACAACAATTACCATATACAAAACTAGGTGTACCAGTTGTAAACGAAAGGAGCCGTTGTTTAGACTGGTTTGTTCAACGATATGATTAGTAGAAACAATGACATATTTTGGATCGCAAATTACTATCTCAACTATTATTCTTTTTAAACTAAAAACTACTCAACACAATATAAAGAAACGAATGGTTATTCCAAAATTGTTATTGACATGTAACTAACCAAGACAATGCTTTCTATGAAATAATGCATGTTCTAAATCATGCATCACGCATGTTCATATCATTTTTGAAATGTGCATAAATCAAGAGATTTATTTGTAAGTGTAGTTCACAATCTCATTGAACAACCTTGTAAACTTAGATATACGGGAAGATATTACTACAAAGGTGAAAATATATTTATCATGTGTTTTTTACAGAAGACCCTGCAAAGCATCATGGTTACATTTTCAAAGTCTACTTTGTACTTGGTTGGAATCACGTAAATCAATCGCATAATCTGATAAAATGATATTCAAAGCTTTCTATAGATTTATTCTTCCAGTTAGGCCAGAAATTGATAGTTTAAGATCCATAGGAGCTTTTATTCAACAAATTAAAATTTTATTATTTCAAATCTGTTAATGAAATATTGAGAAAATTTTTCTCACCATGCCAAACCTTTTGTATACCTCCACAACCTCATATTTTGAGATTAAACCATTGGAGATTCTGGCAAAGAGCTCAAGATTTTTAAAAAACGTTTGTTCACTAATAGCAATGGGTTCATGTGGTAATCTATTTTTCGAATAAAAGAAATCAAAACGATACCAAACGAGTTAGATTATAATAATCATCTATAATAAAGAGAAGTGATACAATATGGTACAGAAGTAAAACATGTAACAGAAATAACTTAAGAACAAGCGTTCTATTGTCTATTCTTGAGAGTACAGGTAAATATTTTAACATCAAAGATACAAGAGAAAAAGCGTACTCTCTGACTGATATGATAACTATTGGTAAGTTAAAACCGAAACACTATATTTACCACATGAGGCATATTTCTAGGAAAGCAAGGTTTTCCAGATCATTTCCTTGAATTTGATTTTAAATGAAGATAACAATATGAACACATCGAACTTGACATAATAAGAATGCGACTTCATATAAAAGATTTGATTAAAATATAAGAATAATGAGGCGAAGACCTAAAAGATCAGAAACGAATCTTATATTTCAACTCCTGCTTTCAATCGAAAGGGTTAAACCGATCAAGTCCGGTTCAAGATTCTACTGCAAAGAGTGTATATATGACAAGTATCTATAATGTATCCGGCAATCCCCGTTGATTCCCGTCGGATTTACCGTCATGAATACGCTCGTGGAAGGAAATCATCCACAGCGTAAAGACATCATTTAGCTTAAAAACTCGCTTCATTCCTTGGGTTTTCTTTTTGCTAAATTGAATGGGTACATTCAGTTACAGACTCATTTTGAGCTGTAAGAAGAATCCCTACATTTTGATGTTCGCAGTGTATTTCTTCGTGGAGGTAGCTAGAATCAAGCCTATCCCATTTGACCCTTCAAGCAGTAAGTACTCGACGTGGAGCGTTCCGTTCTCGGGGCTGTTGCACCGTAATCAAGAAACTAGACCAAGACCAAATACCCGATCTGTCAAATTTTGAATGCTATAAAATAAGGAGATAATCATTTGATGGAACCCCGTTTGCGACAGTGTGCCATTGGTGGTGTTCCATAGGGTAAAACTAAAGTTGATGGGTACTGGAATATACTCCCAGATTGGGATACCTTTATTTATGTGGTTGATGATGTCCGATACAAAACTTAATTTGATGGTCCCATCAAGTAATTTCTTCACAAAATAAAGATCCCTAAAAAATGACACATTTTTTGATATGTGGTTGATGATGTGTCCCAGATTGGGACACCTTTATTTATGTGGTTGATGATGTCCGATGCAAAACTTAACTTGATGATCCATCAAGTAATTTCTTCACAAAATAACGATCCCTAAAAAAGGACACATTCTTTGATATGTGGTTGATGAAGTGACAGATCTTCCTATCTGTGTGCAAAAATATAATTTCTTAACAAAATAAAGATCCCTAAAAAAGGACACATTTTTTGATATGTGGTTGATGAAGTGACAGATCTTCCTATCTGTGTGCAAAAATAAGTCGCGTAGGTAAAGGGGGCATTCCGAGAATCGAACTCGGGACCTCTTGCACCCAAAGCAAGAATCATACCACTAGACCAAATGCCCGATGATGACGAAGGCAGTCTATTGTAAATATATTGTGTAATTATTCACAAATAAGTTGCAATCTCGGGACGGCAGATTCAGATACAACAGGCGATTGTCAGAGGTAAGAATTAGAAGCACTGATTCTTTCAGTTCAGTGCTTGACCATGTCAGCTTCTCAGTCTGATCTCTGCCTGAAAGTGTGTGACTTGTATGACTTCATAATGAATCACGGTGGGGTTCGCTAGGTCACCTTGAAGTATAATCCCTTCCAGTCCTAGTTTCCTGTTCATCAACGTCCTCCACTTCCAAACGCCTGTGTCAAGCTTTCATTCACAACAGAAAGTCCGGTGCTCCGGCAATTCGGGGCCCATTTTCTTTTCATAGGATCAGTCAGTCCAGCAGCCAGGGGAATTGCTGTGTCTCCTCCATCATTTCAGCAGCTCTCTTCTTGGCACGAACGAGCAAACGCTGATCGTCGTGGGGATTGCTCGGGTGGAGTAAAGCCCTGCAGCGAATGCCGATTCATGGCATTATAACGAACGATCCGTTGTGCATGTCAGGAAGAAATGTCGGAGACATCAAGCTCACCAGCTCAGGTCATCAAATCAGAGACACATAGTTTTGAGTAATGCTTGGGAAATCGCAGTCCTTGAGGCAAATGAGGTCTGTACAACTCTCCGTTGGTAGCTCAGAGTTGGATCTGATGTCTCTGATCGTTGTCAAGGTATGATTACATTAGTCTCTGGAGCGTTGTTTTCTTCGCTGTGATCGCCCGTCGCAGACAGAGTTTCGAACAGATGACACTGCTCGGCCGCGTTTTGGTTCACTATGCTAGCGTAAATATTGAAGGGCCCGAAGTGCGACGACGATTCTGGGAGAAGACTGTCGATGGAATGCCAATCGATGAGTTGCCCTGCTTTAGTGCTAAATCCTTGCTCTCCTTCTTGATCCTAGTCCTCGCCTGCGCTACCACAAGATGCAACGAATCACTCCATGTACCTGGGGGATGAGCACATGACCATCAACACACTAGTTTACCAGCCAAAATCCAGGAACCCATTTGAGCTCAATCTGTGCTGCGAAGGGCACAGAGTGTTGACCAAGGAAGCTGAGAGGAGCTCGATGTACTCAGAAATTTCCTCACATGGTACAGTTAGCCAGTACTGTGACCCGGTGTAGAAATCCAAAGCAGGAGGATGTAAGACAAAGCCTTTTCCTGTTGCTACTTTATGTACGATCGGTCCTGATACTTGATGTCTCAATCTATAATACTTGGCCGTCGCTTGCATATTTCATCCTTTTCACCGAAGACAGATAAGTAACGGCCTGACTGATCCTCGTTGTGATTCTGCAAGACAGTTCCTGAACCCTTCGAGTTTTTGGCACCTGTCGGAAATCAAGACGATTTGCAGAATCTTGTCATGGCCGGATAGTTTTAATAGGATATCTGATAAAAGGGAATATTGACATCAGGAGCATAATATAATCATTCTCGACATACCGAACAGCAAATAATGGATGTGACTGCGGTTCAAAGTACATTGCAGTTCCCGAAGAAGACATCGTCAATCCCGGATGCAAGTCAGGCGATGCATCAGAAGCGGACTCGATTACGGGGAGTTTGCTGCAGTGGCAGATTCTCTTGACTGACGAACAGTGAGGGTGGGAGCTTTGAATTATTCAACAATCGATCCGTCGATCCAGAGACAGACTGCTAACACCGAAACTCTTGGATCTTCATCGAATTTCTAAATCGCCTGATACTAGAGACTCTGTGACAGTAGGAGGCAGGAACCAGGTCAGCAACATCCGGATTCTGTGACAAATAATTGAGGCCATCGTTCTTTACAAAACTGCTGGCCGAGTGTTGGGATTCCTCAGAGACTTCCCAGAAGTTACGTACCACGTTGATTCCTATCGTATTGTCCGTCCGCATGGATCGTGCCTTGACTCACCAGTGCTCAATATGAAGCTGAACCCGAAGATGCCTTCCCTGGCGATGCAAACGTTTTTTGCTCATCTCTGTAATCGATGGACTTTCAAGGGCCTCATGTTGACCACAAAGCAGCTGCGGAGGTTTCATCCAAGGACAAGGAGATTCGCGAGAATTTTAGTTAGAAAATTGCGCCGAGCCATTCACAATAGAGGTATGAGTTCTCGTCAGGAGTCAAGCACACGGTCAATCTGGTTGGCAATGCGTTCTGAAGCAATGATTGGGAGAATGTTACCTGCGAGCCTTGCGAGTCAGTCCTCCCCGGGAGCACGAGAGCGTGGGCGGGCAGCTTCAATATAGAAAGTTAATCAATGCTCAAGTATACGCCGATGCCAGATGGGGGAAGACATAAAAGAATCTGAACTGTGTAGCGAGTGAGGCTAACGAGTACTCCCAATTCACAGACAGTATCCACACAGTTGAAGATCCGATTGCCAATATTCTAAGACAACCGGCTACTGCAAACTCAGAGATATATGCTCGCCGGAAACAAGCACCGATCCATTTGGACCTGGGCCTTAGCCCGAAGGTTCGGACCCCAAAATCATGGAGAGAGAGAGAGAGAGAGAGAGAGAGAGAGAGAGAGAGAGGCCAATGAATGTGACTTAGAACTCATCACGGAGTCGCGCCAGATGTCTCCGTGTCCGCACTCGAAAGCCATGCTGCCCTAAATTGTCAGAGCTTTCCTGCCAACGTACACCCCGTCACGGAGGAGAGGATAGACCTGTTCCAAAAGGCCAAAAGCGATAAAGCACCGCACTGCGAAGCACCGGAGAAAAGCGCAACGATCTGGCCTGGCTCGGCTCGGCTCGGCTCGGGTCGTGTTGTGCGCAAGCCCGGACTCCCTGTGATGATCAGTCAATCAGTCAATCATGACGCTGCTCAGGGTTCGGGGTTTGAGTTTCACTCTTTTTATTGTCATTGAATATGGATCGATCTCACTGCGAACCCTCATCAGTCCGACGAGCGCAGACTCTTCAGGTCCGATCTTTCCTCTTCGCGGATGACTGAAGCTGAAGATTATCCTCTCCTGGAACGAGCAGATTCGACTGCTGATATTTAAGGGCGCTGCCGAAGAAAGGAAGGCTTGCAACTCTCGAGAGCATCGCGTGACGAGCTTCAGATTTCGCGAAGGGGAAAACCGAAGACAGAAAAAAAAAATTCCTCACTCCATTCGCACAGAAGTCGGCTGGAGAATTCGTCCCGAGGGATTGCTGCCATGGCCGTGCAGATTTCTCTACTCTTGCTTCTGGTGGCACTGCGGTGCGTCACGGGGGCATGCGCCGAGCACACGGCGCCAGGAGGCCGAGGCCCCGACGGCTTGATCGATCTGGAATCGGAGGGCGAATTGCGAGCGTTGTACGAGTCTTGGGCCGTAACGCACGGCGTCGGCCGCAGGAGCGCATCGGGGGAGGAGGAGCGGTTCGCGGTATTCAAAGCCAACGTCCGGTACATCGAGGAGCACAACGAGCGCGCCAGACGCACCAACGGGTACCGGCTGGGGCTGAACCGGTTCACGGGCATGAGCCGAGAGGAATTCAGGAGCCGGGTCGGCAACGCGAGCGTCGCGGAGCGGGGGGAGCAGCGGAGCGCGACGGCGGAGTCCGGTCGCGGGGACCCGCAAGGCTGGCGCAAGGCCAAGCTGCCGCTGCTGGTGGACTGGCGGCAGCACGGAGCCGTGACGGGCGTGAAGGACCAGGGACGATGCGGCAGCGGCTGGGCGTTCTCGGCCACCGGCGCGGTGGAGGGCATCAACAAGATCGCGACGGGGTCGCTGGTCTCGCTGTCGGAGCAGGAGCTCCTGGACTGCGTCGCAAGCGATTCGGGCTGCGACGGAGCGGGCCGCGTGGACCGCGCCTTCCAATTCATCGTGGACAACGGCGGAATTGGCACGGAGGACGCCTGCCCGTACAACGCCAACCAGGACGTCTGCGACCCGGCCGTCCTGGACAGCCGCGCCGTCGCGATCGATGGCTTCGAGTACGTCGCGGCGAGCAACGAGGCCGAGCTGAAGAAGGCCGTGGCCCGGCAGCCCGTGAGCGCCATGATCGAGGCCACGAACAACGATCTGCAATTTTACTCGTCCGGCGTTTTCATCGGCAAATGTGGGAGCAAGATCGACCACGCCGTGCTGATCGTGGGCTACGGGTCGAGGAACGGGCGGCCCTTCTGGCTGGTGAAAAATTCGTGGGGCACCTCGTGGGGCGAGAAGGGCTACATCCGAATCGAGAGGAATGGGAAATCTGTGGACGGCAAGTGTGGCATCGCGACGATGCCGTCATTTCCAGTCAAGGAGACGAGTCGATGTCGCTCGACTCTCGTCTGCCCTTCGTGACGAAATACCACTCTTCTGATGCAGCTCGCATCGGATTCTTCATCACAAAGAGCACCAAGAGCGCGAAGATCCCGCATCATACCCCGACGATTGCGTTCGACTCGGCAATCTCCGACGAGATTTCACCTTGAACTTTACAATCTTCCTCAGCATGGCATGCATTTGTTCGGAAGGAGCTTCTGTTCGCTATGAAGGTGCCGGGGCATGGATCTGCGTTTGGTTCGAATTTCGTGCTAGAGGTGGCGCTTGATCGCTGCGCCTCTTCTTTCTATGCCCTGCATGCATGCTTCCTGCTCGTATTCGGACATGATCTAGTGAATACAGAACTTTTGCCGTGGCAGTGCTGCTCGTTGCTGTTCACATCTTTCGGATCTGCCTTGTGCGACGTGGTCCGATCACCGATCGCCGATCGCCGGATGCCTGGACTTCCACCTGCGTAGTCTTGGCTGGTCGTGGACAGCAGTCTAGATTCGTAGAGCATGGCATCTTGGTTGCTAGTGCATGCGTTGCTCGAGTATCGACAATCCGTCTCCTTCGTTAGCTACTACCACTACTACCACCTGCCTGTGCCGCTAGCAAATTTTTGTCAGATGCAACTCGTGATCTGAATGGCTGCTATGATCTCTCTCTAAGGTCGTATGACCTGTCTAGCCCCTGGTTACCCGCTTCGTGTCATACTTGTACCGCTCGATGGGATCTTCCCATCCTTTTTTGTTATCTACCTGGTCCCGGTTCCTTATGACCACTATTTCTCGGTGCAGGTCGTGTGATTTTCCATAAAATCCCATAAGATTTTGTAGCGTCGTGTGCTAAGTTGTGCCAAAGAACTGGGCTGGTCGGTCAGTCTAATCGATGTGGATATGGCGATATCAGCCGTTTTCGATTATGAGTCAAGGTTGTACTCAGCTTGATATCGAAACGTCAGGGCATTGAGTTCACGGAGCTTTGGCACGACGATGGCAAAACTTACGCTAGATTCAGAATAAAGAATTCCTCTGCATTCAGAAAGATGTGATCGTCACATTTTCGTTCTGAACGTGGCCATTAATGGCAGCTAAGGTCAACAATGACGAGGAGGATCGATGATAACAAACACACCCTCCGAGAAAAAAACATCGAAAAGATGCACGGTACATCAGACTGGAAGATTTAACTCAAAATATAGGCATTTCGAAACCCACTTTTTTAATGGGCGAAAGTTTTATCAGGAGAGATGAGGTCACATTCTGACTTTGTTCTAGTCACAAACTTCAAGACCAGGTAACCTACTCAAGTGGCTTCTTACCTCGAGACTCAAGTATGGGCTTTTGCCATAGTCTCAGACCATGCCTGTCAACCCTCCTTTCATTCACAATGAAAGGAGGGGTTAAAAGCTTACTTTTTAGATAATCGAGTTGTTAAATTCACCCTCGTTGCGGCAGTTGTCATGGTAACAAGGTTGTTCAATCTAGTGGGACGGAGAAGAGAAAGTGTTTGAAATTTGACCTTTTGGTTGAGCCGGTCCACTGCGCGTTCAACCTCCACAACAGCAGTAGTAGCAAATTCAGGTGTATCCTCCATATGCATATGAAGGATCACGACTGAGATTAGCAGCTTGTGCAGAGAGGGGAAAAGATATGACAACTGTTGCGGAATCAATCTTCAACGACGAGAAGGAAAATTAAATTCTCACATTTTTTTTCCGTGACAACTGTTGCGACGGGGGTTGAATTGAACCATCCCCGTTAAATAAATAAATATATTACTGCAGTCTTTGCCCATAATCCACGGGAAATTATAAAGAGATGTCGGGCCTCAAAAACAAGCTGCAATGTGGGGATTCTTGGAGATTAAGCTGAAGTATCTAAATCAGTTGTTTAGTCTACACATTAACACTTCACATCGAAAGCATAAAGGTTTATTAGAGAACATATTTTCGAAAATAAAGAGATATTCGGTTGAATGCAGAGATACAAACACAAGTTGATGTGTTCAGTTTTCATGTGATATAACTGAAACCCACTGGAACGTCATCAACGTGTGCCACAGAAATTATTTATCGATTTCCTAAACATTCCTAAAGTCGTGCTTAGATATAAGAAGACTGCAAAGGAAGAAAAAGTACGTGGAAATATATTACTCACAAACGAGACCAAGCTTCCGAGACGGTTGCCCTGCAGCTAAGTTCGGTGTGTATCTCTTGCATGTCGTAATCACTTATCACGGTATGATGTAACAGTTTGTCGTTCGAGATCATGATTCCTGAAAATTAGAATGATGCATTTCGAATTATCATTCATTATCATAATGGACTCAGGAAGTGTCGATCGGATCGAACAGCAATTGCTATCATGCACACTCGTGGCTGTTCACGGGCATGAACATTCACGTGCGCTTATCCCTGGCTCGTTAAACACTACCTCGTATACGTTCCTCGTTTTCTTGAACATCATGTTTCTGTTAATATGCTTTTGTTGCAAAAGTTTATTCTGAACATGTCGAACTTCAACCCCACCGACCTCATTGGGCTGACTTATCCAATCTTAAATTTCGTCTACAGTCGAAGGTCTCATCTCAAACCGGTCTTCCATTGCATCTGTGCCCTCAATGTTGGACCCCGATACTGCCTGTACTATGTCTATGCCGTCTTAAACAAAAGACAAGCCAATTAAGATGATGTTCCATATCTGGAAGGATTCCAACTGAACAAATGCGACCTTTTGGCTTCAGATAAGTTCGGCCGTGCCGTAATCTACAGTCCACCACCTCCAATGAACACGAAAGTTTTAACAGCTAAGACTATTCCAATCCTTCCGATATTCATGGTCGCTGTCTACAAAGTGCTGGTAATCAATTAACACGAAAAGGGGTCTTACAGTCTTCGATTATATTGACCTCACTTACAAGACACCGTGGTAAAGATATATACAAATCAGTACATTAAAAAAGAAGAAGTCAGATTATCTACTCCAGGCTTCGAAGACCTCATGTGCTACACATATCTGTCAGCATGGACGCTGTTCCTGAAGAGAGACAAAAGCCCCGAGTCGAACTCCCATCATGTCTTCCCCTCGATCCATTTCTCGGCCTTGAAAATACGATCATGAGCTCTTCTTATCGAAGTCAGGGAACGTGACCTTATTCTACCGCGGATTCATTCTGTCATATACTGCTACCTACAGTCAGCTGATGTCGGATGAGATTCAACGAGGAGGAGTCTGGTTCTAGCACCCTCGCAAGGCGCTCCTGTTGCACGTGCATTCATTCCAAATAGAACGACATTTTCAAGTCCTTTGAAAGAACCTGTTCGGAGGTCGGGATCACTATGGCTGCACCTGCATCATCAATGTTTGTTTTATCGGATTCAAAGACGAAGACACCAGATGGAAATTCCACCGACAACCTAGAATAAGAGCGAGCAAAGGGCCCAGACTTGAGCTGAAACCAGGGTTCCCAAATTCCCTAAAAGAACTGGAATACAGGGACGAGCATTATTGATTGTGCATTAGTTTTCGTCCTCGAGAGTGACATGTGACGTGCTGGGGGATCTTCCTCACTGTCCTTACAAATGCACGGACTGCAATCTTCGTTCTGATGCAAAGTTGCCTGAGGACTGGAACTCGTGGAGCTATATGAAGTTGTATATTATCATGGATCCGGAAGGATGAGGCACAGGTTGCTGAGGGACAGTTACGGGATCGAAACTTATCAGAATGCAGGCAAACGAGAACTCGTTCCGCTAGATCTACGAGGGAACGTGCAACGAGGATCCAGACGCTCATGGCCTCGATCGATAGCCTCGGCCACAGTCGGGCAGGAAGGTCGAGGGGATCTCTAGTCGGATCATCCGCGAGCGTAATTGAAAAGTAATGGGAGCTGGGACAGATGGTCGGCGAGGCCCGGGCGTCGTCACGTTTGTAGCTCCTCACTGCTTCTGATCCCAATGATCTATGTTGCCAGTAAATCCCGGCCTCTATCAGGGCGAGCTCGCGAAATGTGCTGCATTGACTCCAGCCCCACCCCGGGTCGTCTCAACAACGCTAATCGGCTACAGACGAGCCCGTGATTTGTGACGTCAGGTCGAGACCGAACGAAGCCCCAGAGAGCATGATATCCTCATGAAGCTGGCGGGCACCGGCACTGGGCCAAGTCGAGTGCAATGTGAGGCTCGGGCCAGCACTGTGTCCCTTGCGTATGCACCAAATCATCAGCACCCGGATCAGATATAAACGCCCTCCCCCCGCCTTCCGATTCGCCGAAATACTTCATTGCGAGCCCTCCCGATCCATTCCTGCTACGCAGGCGACCTTGCAGACAGTCGGATCTGAATTCAAACCTCGAAGCAGCGGAGGAGCGAAATGCGCGTGGCGCCCGGCGAGTGGTGGCTGATGGGTGCGGAGGTCGTCGGAAGGGGGGTCGATAGCCGGTAGGAAGCTCGAGGAGAGGAGAGGGGACGACAGGGCGGAGCGGGGAAGAGAAGGGAGTGGAACGATCGAGGCGTCGCGATGACGACGACGGGGGAGGCGACGGGGACGACCAGTCACGCGCCGAAGCTGGAGCTATGGCGGCCGTGGCTGAAGGCGCTGCACGGCGGGGACTGTCACGCGATAAGGAGCCTACTGCGACTAAACCCGTGGTACGTGGCCATCTTCCCGGGCTCGAAGGACTGCGAGTTCAAGCGCGCCAAGAGAATTCTCCAGAGCGGCGTGGACGAGATGAAGGACTGGGAGGGCTGCAGCGCCCTACACGTGGCGGTGCAGCAGGGCTGCCTGGCGCTGGTGGACGAGGTGCTCAACGTGTTCCGCCTCGAGGACAAGGAGAGCTTCTTGACCAGCCGGTCGCTCCGGCCAGGCGACCTGCCGTCGCCCGGTGCCAACCCACCGGAGCAGCCCGGGAAGCCCGAGGCGCAGCACCACTACGCCCAGACGATGAAGAAGGCCAGCACCAAAGAGCTGCAGCTCATGGAGAATATTCTCCTAGCGCAGGAGCCGAGCTCGGGGCTCGACGCGCTGGCCATGGCGGTCATCAACGGGCAGGAGGAGGTGGTCCGGATTCTGGTGGCCGCGTTCCAGCAGCTCGAGAACAATCCTTACGACATCATGTCGTCCGGCGAGGCTAACGACTCGCCGGCCGGCAGCTGCGAGCTCGGCGTCACGCCTTCGTCTCTCCTGCAGGTGCACAAGATCGTGCAGGAAGTGCTCGAGGAGATGGGCACCGAGAATTATCAGCTCGCCGAGAAAGAGTTCTCGCAACTGCACGAGTTCAATTTCCTGCCGTGGCCGCAATACCTCTTCCACGCCGCGTGCTCCAAGACGTCGCCGATTCTCGACAAGTGCCGCCGGAGAATCATCCGGAACGCGGTGGACATCGGCGTCCACCACGTGAAGGTGCTGTTCGGGCTGCGCGACGGGCAAGGGCGGACGCCGTTGCACGTCGCGGTGGCCGCCGGGGTCGAGACGGGCATCGTGAAGGACATCTTCGACGCGATGCCCAAAGGGGACGAGTACGCCGAGTGCGTGAACGCGCGCGACGGCGCGGGCAGGACGCCGTTGCATTGCGCCATCTCGCGGGAGCAGGCGGACCGCGACGTGGAGCAGCTGCTGCAGGACCCGAGGACGGACCTGAACGCCGTCTTCTTCTACAACCCGACGATTCTGCGCCTGTTCGACATCGAGAAGCTGTGCTTCCGGCACGGCTTCCGAAACTCGACCAGCATTCTGAAGAACGTCCACAAGAGCACCGTGCTGCACCTCGCGCTCTGGAGCCCGTGGCCCAAGGTCGTCAAGGCCGTGCAGATGCTCCTCAAGGACCACCGCCTGAACCTGAGCCAGACGTGCAACATCAACATCCCCTCAAAGCACGACCGCGCCGATCCCTCCCCCTTCGGCTGGAACAAGGACAGCGACTTCTACCTCACGCCTCTCCAGCTCGCCACGCTTCTGGAAAATGTACCAATTCTGCAAATTCTCGCCAATGTAAGTGCACGTCGGGTTCTGGAACCATGCTCGTCCGATTTTTGCTCTTCAGACCCTCGATCGAATTCCTTCCCCTCCCCCTCCCTCCCCTCCCATGCTCCCACTTCGAGGACTTGTATAGACCGTCGGAGCCCGGAGCCGCAGTCCATGCGGTGAATTCCCGTGGAGTCCAATTCCTCGCACCAACATCGATGTTTGTATCCCTATTCCCTATTTGGAACGAGCAAAAGCACTCGTGGCGCGGATCATTCGATCTGATCCGGGCTCCAGAATCCATACTCCCAGCTGAACTGACCGGATGGCCTTATCTCTGAGTCTCGCGGTGCCGAGATCGTTCCATGAGAGCAGAATTCAGGCCCGAGACGGGAGTCTGAGCGGAATGGGAATGCAGTGCTTGCGAGTCGTCCGCCCTCCGATGCCTGTAGGATTTGCTGAAACTCTTGGGATTGTGGAAGAGCGATCTGACAGACGAGTGAGGAGGGGGTCTGATGTGGGTCCTGGACGATTTGCCAGGACGACAGGGCGTACGACTTCGGGCGGCTGAACAACGCCTCGAGGTACGAGGATCTGCGGGCGACGGTGGACGGCGAGCTGCACAATCTGCTGTCGGCGCTGCCGGACTCGAGCTTCAGCTCCGAGAGCTTGAAGGGCGGGCGGGCCACGTTCCAGCAGAAGAGGGTCGAGGTGTGGGTCAAGTTCATGAACACATCGGCGCTCCACTATGCGGCCATTCTCGGGAACCCTGCGGGAGTGCGAATCCTGCTCAACAGCAAGAGGTTCGATCCTCTGGTCGAGGACCTGGACGGCAACAATGCGCTACACTACGCAGCGTACGCGCGCGAGCTCGAGCATCCGATCTCGCCACACTTGCTCGACGTGCCGTGCTGCCGCTCGCCGCTGCTGCCCAAGGTCCAGCCCACGGCCGAGCCCTCGGCGGGCGGCGCAAGCCAGGAGCGCGAGGCCCCCAGCTCGCGCACGGGCGAGAGCCGGCGCCAGGGGTGCATCAACCTCCTGCTGCAGTCCGGGATCGACATCTGGAAGACGAACAAGGCCGGCAACATCGCGGACCCGGGCATGCGAGCTTCGCCCGAGGCGTGCTCGTGGTGGTACGAGAGGTTGGCGCGCGAGACTCTGGAGACGAAGCAGAGCCTGAACGCCGCCGCCAACGCCGTCTCGGTGACGGCGGCGCTGGTGGCCACGGCCTCGTACGTCGGGCCGCTGCAGCCGCCGCTCGGGTACGTGCAGAACTCGGATGGCACGGCCGCGATGCAGATCCAGGTCGAGTATTTGTCGATCCGCGTCTTCATCGTCTGCGACACCGTCGCCTTCTACGTGGCGCTGTGCGCCATCATGCTGTCGCTGATCCCGTCGCTGCCCATGCCGCACGAGTCCATGCTCGACGAGCTGGTCAGCACTCGCAGATCTGTCACTCTGGCCGTGGCCTTCCTGATTCTGTCCATAATCTCCATCATCTTCGCTTTCGCCTCTGCTTCCATGGCCGTGATTCCCAACGACCGCCGCTCGTGGAACCATCGGGGCCTCACCATGGGCCCCATCGTCGTGGGCACTTTCTTCTGCGTTCTCATCATGTACATGGTCTGCCTGCGCCTCATCCGCCTCGTCCTCCACCAGAACTTCTGGTTCCGCAAGAATTACAGGCGCATGACGCTGTTTTAATCTAGGTACTCGTGCACGGACTGCACGTTGTAATTCTTTGGCCTGATGACTATCGGTCATCTCGCTTTCTCTCGTGAATAAAACTTCCCTTCAGTGGACTGCTGCCCATCCGTTCCCTGCAACACTTGCCGACAGTTGTCGCACTTCACCGATCCATGCAGGAGACATTGAGAGAGTTCGGAATTTCGACGTCTGCGGATCTGGGTACTTACGGAAAAGAGTGAGATTGCACGAGAAGGAGCGGATCCATCTGTACTAGGTACGGGAGAGGGGAAGAGGAAATTCGTTCAAGAAAGAATGGAAGGAAAATTGTAGATCTGGTGTGGAAGATGACAAGAGATTATGATCACACGCACTGCCAGGGAACCTATTACAAAGTCGCAGAGCTATTCAACTGCTTGTACATCTGCTAAAGTCGAGCTCTGCACTGTGCCATTTTGGACTCTGATTTCCATCGCCTCTGCTCGTCAATGATTGATTACATGATGAGACCCCGGACCTCTTACACATCTGGGAGAGATGAGGTAGAGGTGAACAGCAAATACGTAAATGATTTGAAGGAAAATTGTAGATCTGGTGTGGATGATGACAAGAGATTATGATCACACGCACTGCCAGGGAACCTCTTACAAAGTCGCAGAGCTATTCAACTGCTTGTACATTTGCAAGGTCGAGCTCTGCGCTGTGCCATTATGGACTCTAAAGTCCATTGCACCTGCTTGTTAATGATTACATATTGAAACCTCGGACCTTACCTCGAATCTGTTCTCAGCCATCCATGGCGCCTTTGCATGTGGCATAGATTTATGGACGACAGTTGATCTTCATGTATGATAGCATTGAGCATCGCTTATCTGGATCTCTCGGGTGCTGTTATGTCGTACCATGTTTAGTTTCCAAGGATCAGATTCCTCTGCTGCGTTTTCTCCATCCTCATCTCGTACTCAGCTTTCACTGATTCGGGGCTTTGACGCATCACACTCGTGGACAACAAATTCTATTCGAGCTATTGACTGAACTGCAAATGTATCTCGAAGGGGCACAATATCTTTATATATCCAGCTGCTGCTGATATATCATTGACACTGTTATGGATGTAGGACACGGTGCGGCTAGCACTTGTCATAGTTTACAAAAAGAAGGCTGAATTTTACTGCAAAATCAACGAACCTATGCTGGAAAAGCTATATATAAAACATTTCAGTATGAACCTCAGTTTTTTTAATCCTCACAACAACGAGCACAAAGTCATACAAAGTTCTGCATTTCAATCTTGTGACACTCGTGTCTAAGAGCTTGGAATCCTGTAAAATTCATGATTCTCATTTGACTAGATCTGGTTTGTCTTTAGTAGAAAGAAATGTAAGATACATTAGTCTGAATTTGTTTACATCATGGACTAAAATAGAAGCATGACCATGTGAAATATACTTGGAAGAGAATAGGAGACAAAACTTACTCGTCCCAGTAAGTATTAGTATCAGAATCATCGTCTTCACCTGTCTGTCCTAACGTCAGCCAGTTTTCTAAGGGTAAATCAAGAAAATCAAGTAAAATAATTACCAACACATCCCACATTGTGTAACTTAAAGAAACTTCCTTTTACCCGGTGTTTTAAGCAAAAGTCACGTTCAATAGACAACTACTCGAAAAGCCATCTTATATATATCTCTTATAGGACATGTACAATTCAGATAGGTTTATATATTCTACAAGGACATCATTTTTGTTGGATGAAATTGTGAATGGAACCCTGATAAGTCGGGAATTCCGTAATGAATTTTCATCATAGTGCTTGCACAGATCAGAGACGAAACAACTGGTGAAGACAATCGCACTGATATATGAATAATGTCACAATTTATTGAAAATTTCCTCTTTCATCACTTCAACTTAGAATCTTCATTGCAGGTCAGAAGTCTCGAATAGTCATTATATATCAACTAACATACTTATCAACTTTCCCATAACACAAAGAACATAGTGTACACCTTGCCTAAACCCTGAAACTCCATTTGAAGGATAAACAACAATATTTATCTACTATCCCATAGCACAAAGAGGCGTGTGTACTCTTGTTATAAGACCAGCCGTGTACTCTTATTATAATTGAATGAGAGCCGTATAGACTTATTCATCTGGAAACAAGCAATTCTTAGCTTTGTAAGCTTTGCAAATGTTTGCGTCATATGTTATGGTATCATACGTATCAAATCATAATCTAGGAAGATGATCCTGTAGAACTTAGTAGAATTTAAATTACCTGTAAATTAATAATAATAGTGATAATATATAAACATATACAACATCTCTGTTGTGCTTTTCATTATCATTGTGTTTTGAATTTCAATCAGAAGCTCAAGGGTCCTCTCTATTGACACCCTTAATAATCTGTCCCGAGAATAGCCCCTTTTAAATATTAATCATTATCACTTTAGATTCAGAAGATCACGAAAAATCGGGAAACCTTGAATTACATCTATGGATTACTCTGAATTACAGCCTGGACTTCCAAACTGGAGACGATGATGCTCAGGTACTATGCATGAGTTCGTGTGAAACTAACAAACGTTATTCTTTATTGCTTCGCTGCAAACTTCAGTAAGGTCATCATCAACGGGTATCTGAAAGTTGTGGACTTAGACAAAATCTGGACTTCACATCAAAATTCAAATCCTGATGATGAAACTTAGGATGATCATTGTTATATTTATGGCCTGGTCTAAAGGTTGAGTGTTTGCGTTTGATTTCTCATGGAGATTTGGAATATAAAATGGTGCGCCGAAAAATTGAAAAGCTTTGTATTAAAGTTATTACCAATTAGGACAAAGTTAGAAATTTTTAATCCAGCTTTTCCTTATATCATCCTCAAATCTGGTGATCGATGACGACAGGAAGTTTCAACCAAATACGACAGCTCCTAGCTTCTGTAGAGGCTGCAAAAAAGTTAAGTAGAGTGATCCTTTTAAAAACTGGATTCGATCGTGCGACTATAATATGAAACTTGCTAATATGATCTCACACTATACTCTATGCTAATTTTTCTTGAAATGATATCTTATGGGCATATTGTTTAATATCAACCATGTTGAAGGTTTCATGTAAAAAATGTTTGTCATGCTTGATTGTGTCTTAAATTTTAAAAGTATAGATATATTACAAAATTAGCAACCCCATGACATAATTTTAATTGATTTCTTTTTAGATTTTCAAGCTAATAGTTCAAAGTGAATATTCAAATAGCTTTTTAATATGATTAATATTATATAGCTATCATAAGTATGGTTGGAAATTATAGTGAAAAGTGACTTGTAATATATTTTGAATTTTTTTTATTGAAGATAAACTATTTTTGTATACAATCTTGCACATTGATAAATTTTTAAGAAAGTGAAATTAATATCAGTATCTTTTGATGTATAAATTATTACAGGTTGTGCTAAATCAGGTTAACAATCTTTGGTATATAGAATCAATACTATCTTTGTTGACATCATCAAATTAGAAAGTTAGTGAAATTCATTATATAAAATTTGTAAAAAATAATATATTTTTCCAGGTATGTGCAAAAACTTAAAATTTATCGATTATAAAAAATCTAAAATTAGTTAATTGGACACTTTCTTAAATTTTTTATCATTAATTTTTCATAAATTCATCCTTAACTTTTATGAAAAAAGATGCAGTCATAGAGCAGCATAGAGGCAAAGCATCACTTTGTAAGAGAACTATTTTTAGAGAGGGAAATTGCACTTGATTACATACACAGAGAAGAAAATCTAGTTGATCTTATGACAACACATGTTTGACAAACATCGACATTTTATTGGTATGCATTCACTGGCGGATTTAGAGGAGGTTTGCTAAGCTTGCCATTCACTATTGATGCCAATCAATCCCTAGAATTGCGCCTGATGTTCCAACGCTATTTGCTGAGAGACAACCCATCCGACCAATCTCACACAGAAAAGTCAGGCTATCTACAAACACACAGATACAAGCAACCACTATCTTAAGCGTCATGAGAGAGTTCATTGCAAATTGCGTGTTCTTCTCGAGCGAAGGGGTGTTGTGAGTCTTAGTAGATCTTTAACGACTATAACCGTTTAACCTTGTCCGGAGATTCTTGTTTAAATTTTGTTCAGCTGTTGTGTTAGAGTGAGCAACTACTTTAGTGTTGCGTTGTATACTTCAAATATTCAGTTTTTTTCTCTTGCAACACGGAGTACACGAGGAAGACGATGAACTCATGTCCTGTATATTTATTACCGCCCTGTATATTTATTACAGTATGTCCTGCATATTTATTACCGCCCTCATCGTTAAGGGAACTATCACCACCAAAATTCTCTCGATAGCACTCGTCATATTAGACTTCATACTATTCGAAGTTAAGGCAGAGTGCTCACTATATACACTAGACATGAGAGATATTATTACTTGTGTACTTTACAGTCACATTATTCATTTGTTTCTTTATTTGTTTTTGTTTTTTTTATTCATGCGAATTTAAGCATGAACTACTTATTCCAAAACATAATCCTATTGTGGTTGTTAACCATACTGAGGCTCTAAAATAAATTCAGTTTGTAACATGGCCCAGGAAAATAACAAAATGGACCGGAAGACTCCATCAAAACTTCTAAGAAAAGTGCCAAACCATAACGCGAGTCTCTGTAGCCATGAAAAGTTATCAAGGGGTGTATAAATTATATTGCATTCAAAGTATCGCCATCTTAGTGTGGAAACAATTGGAGATATAATTATCATTTAACGATAGAAACATGTGAATTAGAATATTATGTACTCTAAATATATACAATCAACTAAAAAGAAAGCATCAATTCCACATAGATGGTAGAATCCCTCTTACAATAGTGTCTGAAGACAAAGCATCATTGTGACTCTAATATGTCATGATTCAAAAGAATGATACTTACAATAAAATACCCATGAGAACCTAGATTAGACTGAAGTCACATAACGTCATGAGTAAGAGATCCCACAATTTTGTTCAGTTATTTGCACTGGCAGATCAATCTAACCATGGTGATCATGAATACGATCAACCTCTTCAACATTTTTAGACAATCATTTCATGAAAACTCGTTGAAAGTGCGTCCTAGAGCTTACTGGATCCCGTACTTTTGGATAATCTTGACCTGATGACTCTCCTCGCATCGTTTAGCGTCACTGCTAAACTCCTGCAGTAACAGAACGAAGTTCAACCATAAGGCACAAACTGTTCTTTATGAAAAACCTCTGCTAGAGGGCATAAACACAAATTTTTTTTCGATAATAATAAATCTATTTCGTCCGAGGAAATAATTAATCTCTTTCGTCATCGACACCACTTTTGGAGGAAATTCGGTCTCTTAAAGCCGATGTGTTATCTTCTGACGACTCTAAGAAGCCTAGGACTTCGAGATAATAACATCGCTGAATGCAAGGCCCATTAAAATAGTTCTTCTTTCTTTTTCATGATGCATGCTATGTTTATCTCTAACCAAGATAGATGGCACACGGTGTTTTAAATTGATTCATTTCTTCTTATCCTGAATAGGCCTACTTGAAGCCTGAATTGTTCTTGTTGTTTTAGGCCTAAGGTCAGAAAAGAAGCCAAAGTTTAAAAGACGGAGCCAAACGTGACACTATCTGGTTGCAGAAAGAGGAAATGCTCAGCCTTAACTGTGCACAACTCTATTGTACTCCAATGAGAGGAATCAAACCTCTCTTTACAAACCTATTGCGGTGAATGTACACTTTAATTTTCAACACCCTACATGAAAGGCTAATGTATAAGAAATACCAAACTTGATGTCAAAATGTACTCTATATCTACATATTTGCTTCCAATATGTAACATGTCACCAACAGATGACCTTACAACTTGCTTTTCAAAACATGGAGATAAGATTTGAATACTATACAATGATAAATCAAAGCTTTAGGTCTCTGAAAACACTCAAGTTACTTTGAATATAAATATTAGCACTACAAGATGCATGTCATTCACAAACAATGCCAACATGTTTATCATTTAGTTAAAGAACACATGTGGCTCCACTACTTCTTTGAGATTATGTTAAAGTTGTGATATCAATGATGCCATTACACCATCACAAAACATATAGATCAACATCTGTTACCCTCTGATCATCAACATCCCATGCATCGATCACAAGAAAAAAGAAGCAAAACTCATTCACCCACCTTTACTTCATTCTCTTTAAAAGCATTTTAATGATTCAAATGGAAGGAGTGTTAGATATGTTGCAAGTAAGATGTATAATGAAAATCTAAATGCTTCAACAAATTAAAAAAAGTAGAGAAATGAAGTAGATTATGTTGTTGTTGGATCATTCATATTAAATGGAATCAATCATGAACAAAGTACTGATAAATACTGATACTGATATACTGATACTGATTAAAATAAATCAATTTACTCATCCATGGAACTTGATTTTCAACCTCAAATGATCAATAATGATTTTTTATGTCATTAATGTCAAATGAAATCATATTGATTTCATTTGAAAATATAAAGCAAAATCAAGTCTTGACATATATTAATAAAATGTATCTTTTTTCAACATCAGTCACATATGAATATATCATTATTATGAAATAAACTTGAAAGTTTATTGTAGTTTATGATAAATATAAATATTTAATATCCAATGCAACATATCTAACATATAAAATTTTTAAATTCAACTTTGAAGTATTGATAATATTATACATCAATTTAATTATAATTAAGCATAGAATAAATTAAATAATGATTTCAAAAAATTTAAACAATACTAAAAAATGTGACTTAAAGAAAATATTTTATAAATAATATTTTTGAATTTGGCGCTAATCAATCTTTTTAAATCAGGTTAACAATATTTGGTATATATAATCATATCTCTCTTTTTTGACATTATCTAACTAAGAAAAAAAGTGAAATCAATTATATAAAATTTCGAATTATAAGTAAATGTTTCCACGTTTTCGCAAAAAAACAAATATATTAATTATACATAAGCTAAAATAAGTTCGTGGGATACTTTTCCCATTTTCATTCTCATATTTATTTTTGATAGATTCATCCATAAAGTTTATAAAAGAAAATGCACATGGAACTATAGCATCTATAGTTATTATCCATTAGGTTTAAAATTAGTTCAAGGGTTTATAATCTTACCTTTTATTGATATATTTTCATTAATTATACGAAAAATTTGTTAGAAAATTTGATACAATTTTTCTACTCAAAGAATTGTATTCTTTCTTCAATGTAAGTAGAATTAACCATATATTTATTATTATCAAGATTTGTTCAACCTTTTGCTTTGCAATTGTAGTTTAACATATTCCAGTCTAATTGTGCATTAGATGTTTTTGCTTGGAGTTGATTTTATTCTTCACAATCATGAGTTTTTGCATTTAGTTGTTCATTCATTCATATCATTCATCTACGATATAGATGAATCATTCAGTTATGAAATAAGGTAGGAATATAGAACCAGACTAATAGCACCTACGGCTGCAGCTTATTCTTTGTTTCTATACTCATGTGTGAAATGGATTGTATCATGGATGTAGTTGATGATAACATGTTTTGTTGTACATTACAAGAGTATATTATGATGATCATTAAGAAGATGCTATTTGCAATTTTCTGTCTACTCTAATGATTTTATGAAACTGCATATGATGATTTTTAGTTACTTTTCAAGAGAGAGCAAGCTATTATCATGCTCGGAAAATAACCATTTTCATTGATTTCTTGTGTACCATATCTTAGTGAACATACTGTTCATCAGATACTACCCTATGTGTTTTATGGGAGTTAAATTTATAGAAGATATTAATGATATATATATATATATATATGAAGTGTTTTATACTTTTACTATCATCGTGAGAATATAGATATATAGACTTTGTTTTCGTTTAAATTCTTCATTGTAGTGCTTACTCTATTATCTATAATTCTCTTGGATAAAGAAGAAATTACAAGAGAAAAATTTTGGTATGAATCAAGTAGATCTTGCACATTTAGTGAACAAGATGCAGATCGGTTACAAGATAACTCCATTTACCAGGAAGATAGTGAGTATTTTCATGCATTGGCTGATGGCGAGAGACAAGATCCAAATTGGAGTGAAAATATACAAGATCTGTGCGCAAATCATGTTATCATTTGTGGACAATGATGACTCGCATTCAAAAAGAAGGCAGTTGAGCAACTATGATTTATCAGCATATCATTCGTTGGCTTTCATTCGGAACGAAAAAATTAATAATCACATGAGCAACTGTGTATTATGAGCATCAGATGCAATTGATTTCATTTCTGCAATTTCTTAAGTGTTAGCCTACTCTAGGTCCATCATCCATGTCATCTAGACCTTGGGTTTCAGTAAAGTGTTTTGTTTATAGGTACATCATGCTATACTTCTTGCTGTGCCTGCCCTTCAACGAAGTGAGACAGCCAATATGAAATGGCAGATTCTGTAGACTTAGACCCGTAGACGCATATGCCTAGAGGCCACTGTCACCTAAGTGGAAGGTCTACAATATCAGAATATTAAATGTTTTCTACGCAATATTGAAGCAGCATCTAAACCATAATACCTTTGGAGCTGAAGGCGTAATTTCCTGAGCGAGAGCTTTCAAGGATCGTCAGTTCGATTCACCCTTCCGAGTAGTACTGCCTGTAGTTATGTTCGGACATTGACAAACTATGTAACATGTGAGGACATCAGCAGTCAGCAAATTGTAGCGCTTAGGAAGCGATAAGCTGTGAATTTTCGTCTATCCAGTCGAGTTTTGGTAACTCCAGCTCGTTACTGCGTTCTGGCCTTGCAATCGATGTATCATCTATCATGCATATCACAAACCGTGTCCTACATCCAAAACAGTGTCCAGAACAGAATATCCATTAATTTTGAAGACTATGACAAGTGCTAGCGGCTAGCACTTGTCACAGTCTACAAAATTTTACTGCAAAATCAGCGAACCTATCCTGGAAAAGCTATATATACTGACGATTTGCTTTTTACGTATTACTCCTCGCGGCCCTTCTTACTAAGAAGCACAAAATTGTCGGCGAGCTTGGTCCCTCTCTCTCTTCGCCCAACTGCTCTCCCTTTCGTGTCCCTACATATAATTTAATTTTACTGAGTTGCCCAAAAGCCACTACGAGTTAATACACAGCAAAAACTCTACAGCAATCAACAAAAAGAAAACTAAACTCAAAGGAATTAGTCAGAAGTTTAGCCAAGATAGTAATTACTGCACCCTCTTTAAGTAAGGATACTGTACTCCACCTTGTTCCCAGCTCCGCCGCGTGGAGGCACTTCCTTGGAGCCACGTACCTAGTATTTATACCTACCTGCTACATCGTCCGCGCAGGTTGTTGAGTCCGAGCCCGAAGATGATCCTCCAACTCCATCTCCAGCGCTCCATGTCATCTACATCATGTGGGCTAAATCGAACACTAATGTGGAAACAAAGTTATAATAATGTAATCTATCAGAGAGAGTATAGCGATATGAAGGTGAAGTGTAGTGTGTAAAATATAGCAGTTTACACTCTAAAATAATATACTCAGACTGAAGTGACTGTCCTAGGCTTGAGAAGGTGCCTCTCACGAGGTCAGTCTTCCCCTGCCCTGGTTGGGAAAACCTTACGCTCACCCAGGGAGTAAACCTCCTGTGGGTGAGCTGCCCAAAGGAAAAATCACTTACTAAATCTGTATGTTCTAAAGTGAAGCTCCTAGGCTGAGAAGGTGCCTCTCACGAGGTCAGTCTTCCCCGCCCTGCTTGGGAATAACTTTCGCTCACCCAGTGGGGAATACCTCCTGTGGGTGAGCTGCCCAAAGGAAAAATCACTTACTAACTCTGTATGTTCTAAAGTGAAGCTCCTAGGCTGAGAAGGTGCCTCTCACGAGGTCAGTCTTCCCCGCCCTGCTTGGGAGTAACTTACGCTCACCCAGTGGGAATACCTCCTGTGGTTGAGCTGCCCAAAGGAAAAATCACTTACTAACTCTGTATGTTCTAAAGTGAAGCTCCTAGGCTGAGAAGGTGCCTCTCACGAGGTCAGTCTTCCCCGCCCTGCTTGGGAATAACTTACGCACACCCAGTGGGGAATACCTCCTGTGGGTGAGCTGCCCAAAGGAAAAATCACTTACTAACTCTGTATGTTTTAAAGTGAAGCTCCTAGGCTGAGAAGGTGCCTCTCACGAGGTCAGTCTTCCCCGCCCTGCTTGGGAAAACCTTACGCTCACCCAGTGGGGAATACCTCCTGTGGTTGAGCTGCCCAAAGGAAAAATCACTTACTAACTCTGTATGTTCTAAAGTGAAGCTCCTAGGCTGAGAAGGTGCCTCTCACGAGGTCAGTCTTCTCCGCCCTGCTTGGGAATAACTTACGCTCATCCAGTGGAGAATACCTCCTGCGGGTGAGCTGCCCAAAGGAAAAATCACTTACTAACTCTGTATGTTCTAAAGTGAAGCTCTTAGGCGTGGAGAAGGTGCCTCTCACGAGGTCTGTCTTCCCCTGCCCAATCACCCACTAAATATCTATTCACTGACGTGAAGCTTCCAATCAACCACTAAACTACGCTACCCGAGAAATACTTAGCTTTGCTTTCCGTGAAGATTGTTCTGGAGCCCTTCTCGTCGCGAATATATGTCAGCAGCTTCGGCACGTCGTCCTCTACGTGCTGATCCCGAGTCCGATTCCAGTTCTCCTGCATCAAAGTATCAATTTGGTCGGTCATTAGATTGTGTTTCACGTACGTAATCCGATGAGCTTCCGATGCCAATGGCTCCAGAGCGTCGCCCGCTCGTGGCCGATCCACAGATCCTGACAAAACTAGAGTTGCTATCCAGAAACTCCAAGGAATGGATTCCGTCAGGTTGTATGCATTGAGCCCGAGGGAAATCAAGTAGGTCGGCAATGTTTCTGATCGTATTTGATGATCGAGCGTTAATCTTCATTCAAGTTATGTTCAACGTTAAAGTTCCCGTTAGACTTGCTTTGCTGTCAATTTGCAACAGATGAAATCGTTTGAACCGAACGTGTCGTAATATAGTAACACGCCAGTAACGTGTAAATAACTGAACGAGATTTCGTCTGCCTGGGAGACTATACACTATAAACACTCGAAAGCTGGAGTCACAATGTAGCCATTTAGGAATGGAATGTATATGGAGTCGAGATGAGATTGGAAGGAAATCAGATTTCTAACACATCCCAAATTGTGTAACTTGAGGAAACTTCCTTTCACCCGATCTTTTAATCAAAACTCACGTTCAATAGACAACTACTCGAAAAGCCATCTTTTATATATTTCTTACAGGACATTTACAGTTCAGATCGGTTTATATATTCGACAAGGACATCATTTTTGTTGGATGAAATTTTGAATAAAAACCTGATAAGTGTGAAACACATCCAATCGCTTGCAACATCTGCTGCTTGTGCAAGGGGCAATAACCATAAACCTTGTGGGGAGATTCTCAAATGGGGGAATTTCGAAGTTCCACGGCATTCATCCATATATCCATCCATGGGTGTGCTCAGCAAATCAGAGCAGCAATGATCTGCTGAGCATTAAGTGTCAGAGTATCACTAGATTGCAAAGTATAGGACTAAGCAGTTGATGAGCTGCGGCTTCAGATGGTTCTCGAGAAGGTCCTGGATCACATACTCGATGTTTGGGTCACTCGGCAGCTCTCTCTCATGGACTTGGGGAATATTCTTCCGCATGTTGGCCGGGTAGACTTCTATGATAGCAAGCGGCGGACTTTGGGAACGCCGGCCTTGCCATCCCATCCACCTTAGGCACTGGCTGTTCTGAGAACAGTGCAGTTGTCTTTCCGAATTCTTCCAAATCCTTGGTCGGCCTGGCTTCAGGATACCTTGAATGTCATCATACTGGACCTCTAATTCTGGCTGCTGGCTGCCATAAGCTGTGTGAATCTGGTTGCCTCATTGATCGTAGCAAGATTTCACAGCTACAAAGCATCTGATGGGGAAAGCTCGGCCTCACCAGCTATTATGCAGAGATTGAATTCCCTGGCCTCTTCCCAAATCTTTCCTGTCCAAATCTTGACCTTCTTCTCGGAACTAGGTGTTGGTGACATGCTTCGCAAGCTCTTACAACCACCCGGAGGATCAGAAGAATAATGAAACAGCTGCAAGTCCATGAGCGTACACAATGCCTATGGCTTATACTTGTTTCATAAATTGTTTGATTCTGAGACCCTAAACCCATCACAACGTCTTTCATCCGTGTAGGCCATTACAGAACCCCAAACATGGTACTTTGAAATGTTCGGTCTAGGCCAGTGCAGGACAGAAACTCCGGACATGGGTCTTTGAAATATTCAAGAATATAACGAATTGAATCATCGTGGATTCCATGACATGACTTTGTAGCATAGAACTAATGCACCTACATTCTTTTTTGTACAGTTCACTATTTGACTGGGATTTCATATAGTGACCGTCCGAATCATATAGAGTACGTCCAAAAGTTCAAATGATAACTCGAACATTGTACAACACGTAAAAATATACAATACACGTATCACTGAAAATACTTCATCAATTTTACATCGTTGACAATTCTGATAAAGTATTTGATAAAGTAAAATTTAGAAAGCTTCTTGAAAATACTGGAGAGATGAGTCAAAGGGTTTAAGGTTTAGATGCATAAAATACTTTCATGCGGCTCAGCTGTCTCAACCCATTCATGGTGCCAAATACATTGCTTGCTGATTTTTGTCATACCAAGATATAGTTAATACCCGAAACCTGGCATGGTCTGTTAAACATAGAACACGGTCTCCATAAACATTCTGAACCGTGTATTCTCGGTGAAAGCAACACTTAGTTGTTGTGATGGTTCCATTAGACTGATGATTTGACAATAGTAGTAAGGTGTCATATCTGCAGAATAATGATATGAGCAGAAATTTGCAGAATTTTTTTGCAGAAAATGGTTGAAACCACGAGAAATAAGTTTAATTTTGATAGTTTGAGAATTTAATCAAAACCGGTGATCCTATGAACTGATAGTATGAACATATGCAACTAACAGTTTTTAAAATGAAAATAGTACTAAATTCCATGAGTGATCTAAATATAATTAATCTTAGGTTAATTTGAAAACCTTTGTATTCTTTAATGAATTAGAATACACCATTAATAAGTAAAGGGTTAAAAGTCTAAGAAGTAACAAATGTAGCATGATGTAACTATAAACAAAAAACTTTACTAAAACCCAAAAGTCTAGATGACATGATGATGGATCTAGAGTAGGCTAACACTTAAGAAATTGCAGAAATGAAATCAATTGCCTCTGATGCTCATAAAATTGCTCATGTTCTTTTTAAATTTTTCTTTCCGACTGAAAGCCAACAAATGTTGTGCTGATAAATCATAGTTGCTCAACAGCCTTCTTTTTGAATGCGAGTAATCATTTTCCACAAATGATAACATGATTTGCGCGCAGATCTTGTATATTTTCACTCCAATTTGGATCTTGTCCCTCGGCATCCAACAATGCATGAAAATACTCAGTTACTTCCTGGTAAATGAAGTTATCTGGTAACCGCTCTGCATCTTGTTCACCGCAGTAAATGTGCAAGATCTACTTAATTAATATCAAAAATTTCACCTTGTATTCTCTTCTTTATCCAAGAATATTTTAAATGAATACAAAGTCTAAATATCGATATTCTCACGAGAATAGTATTAGTATTAAACACTTTATATATATATATTTATTTAAAATTAATAAATACAGTATGTAGATGAAATTTTATGAATTTAAGAATTTTACAGAATTTTGCAAATATCATCTTCTTAATGATGATCATACTTACATAGTATTCTCGTGCAATGTACAACAAAGCATGTTAACATCAACTACATCCATGATTATATCAATTTCACACATGAATATGAAAATTTGAATGAATAATCTACTAAAGTCAAAACCTCAGGATTGTGAAGAATAAAATCAATTCCAAGCAAAAATATTTAATGCACAATTACACCAAAACATGTTAACCTATAATTGAAAATCACAAGGTTTAACAAATCTTGATAACAAAAAATAGATGGTCATATTTACTTACAATAAAGACAGAATACAAATCAATAAGTATTGTATCAATAAGACAAAGTACATCAATTTTTCTAACAATTTGGTGAAAAGAATCAATAAAAGATAAGATTATAACTCTTGAATTAATTATTATATTAATGGATAATTACTATAAATGCTTTAGTTCTGTATGCATTTTTCTTATAAACTGCATGGATGAATCTATCAAAAATAAATATTGGAATGAAAATGGAAAAGTATCCAACCAGCTAATTTTAGTTTTTTCATAATTAAAAAAATTATTTTGCAAACATGTTGAAAAATAAAATTATTTTTCCAAATTTTATTTAGTTTATTTCACTATTTTCTTAATTTGATGATGTCAACAAAGATAGTAATGATTTCATATACCGAAGATTGTTAACGTGATTTCAATAAATTTGATGAGCATAAAATTCAAAAAATTTATATACGAAATATTTTTTTAAGTCACATTTCGTAATATTGTTTAAATTTTTGGGAATGATAAATGATTTTATTCTATGATAATCTGTAATCAAATAGATGTGTAAGTTTATCAATACTTCAAAGTCTAATCTAAAGTTTTGAATAAGTTAGATATGTTGCATTGAAAATTAAATATTTATATAACACATTGACTACAATAAAGTTTAAATTTTTTTTTCATATGAATAATATATTCTAGGTGACTGATGTTGGATAATTTACATTCTATTCATATATGTCAAGATTTGATATTAATTTATATTTTCAAATGAAATCAATATGATTTCAATTGAAATGAATGACATATAAAGTCAGGATTGATTATTTCAGGTTGAAAATCAACTATCATGGTTAAATAGATTGATTTTTTGTTATCATTTAGTATCAGTATTTTGTTCATGATTGATTCCATTTAATACCAATGATCCAACAACAACACAGTCTACTTCATTTTTCTACTTCTTTTTCTTTGTTAAAGCGTTTAGATTTTCATAACACATCTAACTTGCAACATATTCAACACTTATTCTCTTTAAATCATTAAAATGCTTGAAAGAGAATGAAGTAAAGGTGGGTGGATGAGTGTTTTGCTTCTTTACTCTTGTGATCAATGCGTGGGATGTTGATGACCAGAGGGTTACAGATGTTGATCTATATGTTTTGTAATGGTATAATGGCATCCTTGATATCACAACTTTAACATAATCTCAAAGTAGTAGAGTCACATGTATTTCTCAACTAAATGATACATGTTAGCATTGTTTGTGAGTATTATGCATCTGGTAGTGCTATTATTTATATACAAAGTAACTTGAGTGTTTTCAGACACCTTGAGCTTTGATTTATCATTGTATAGTATTCAAATCTTATCTCCATGTTTTGAAAAGCAAGTTGTAAGGTTGATTAAGATCAGTTTTCTGAGCTAAAGAACTGTCTCCACTTTAATTGTAGGTTCATTTGAAGTTAAATTCTCACATCTGGTAGTGACATATTACATCTTGAAGCAAATTTGTAGAGATTGAAGATACTTTGACATCTGGTTTGGTATATCTTATACATTAGACTTTCATGTAGGATTCTGGAGATTAAAATCTACATTCACCGTAAGAGGCTTGTGGAGAGAGGTTTGATCCATCTGATTGGAGTACTACAAAGTCGTGCACAGTTCAGGTTGAGCATTTTATATCCTCTTTCTGCAACCAGATAGTGTCACGTTTGGTTCAGTCTTCTAAACTTTGGCTTCTTTTATGACCTTAGGCTTATGACAAGAATAATTCAGGCTGCAAGTAGGCCTATTCAGGATAAGAAAAATTTAATTAATTTAAAATACCATGTGCCATCTATCTTGATAAGAGATAAAAGTAGAATGCATGATGAAAAAGTGAGAAGGACTATTTTAATGGTCCTCACATTCAGCGATGTTTTTATCTCAAAGTCCTAGGCTTCTTAGAGGCGTCAGAAGACAACACATCGGCTCAAAATAACCAAATTTCATCCAAAAGTCGTCTCGATGAAGAATAGATCTATTATTATTTTAGAGCCTTAAGTATGGTTAACAACCACATTAGGATTATGTTTTCTAATGAATAGTTAATGCTAATGTTAGGTTCGAGCCATGAATAAGAAATATGTAAAAAATTGTAATAAAAAAATTAATAATGTGACTGTTAAGTACACAAGTGATAATATATCTCATCTTTTGTGTAAATAGTGAGCACTCTGACTTAATTTTCAAAAGTATCAAATCCAATGTGTCGAGTGCAATTGAGAGAAATTTGGTGGTGATAGTTCACTTAACGGTGAGGGCGGTAATAAATATGCAGGACATACCTTTTCAAAATTTCAAACCTTCTTTATGGATCCCAAGCAATTGTTTGTCTTCTTTGAACGATGCCCTTTGTTTATGGCTGATATATGAAAAAAGTGGGAAGAAGTTCTTGTTATGAGTTCATCGTCTTCCTTCAGAACTAGACATCGATATTGTCTAAGTGACTCTTGGCTTGACACGCATAACACATCGTTTGCCTCGTGACTCTGAACGTGACGACTCTCTCGTGAAATTCTATACACGCTCATAGCATGGGCACACCAAAACAATTCAATGTCTTTTACCCTTTTCTCGACAAAATTCTTTCAAACCTATAATTGTAACTTGCAACTCGGGAAGTTGGATGAAAATTTTCATGAGGAGATTAAATGCCTGGAAACTATTGAATTATAACGATCTACATGGCAGTGCGCACAAGAACTAGATCTCCGTCATACATGAATTACGAAAACGCAACACGTAAATAGTTGCTCACCCTCACACAACAGCTGACCTAAATCTAGACCTAGAACTACGGACATGGTTAAACGGATCTCCTTGTTAAAGTTTTACTAAGAATCACTCAACACCCCCTCTGGAGGGAACACACAATTTGGAATGACCTCGCGCATGACGCTTAAGATAGTGGATGCTTGTATATGTGTGTTTGTATATATCCTGACTTTATTTTGCGTGAGATTGGTCAAATGAGATATCTGTCAACAAGAAACGTTGGAATATCAGATCCAATTGTAAGGATTGATTGGTAAGCCTAGCAA